ATACACCGCTTAATCCTCACTAGGGTCGCGGGGGGGCTGGAGCCTATCCCAGCCGACTTAGGGCGAAGGCAGGGGACACCCTGGACAGGTCGCCAGTCTATCGCAGGGCCACACTTAGAGACAGACAACCAAGCACACTCACATTCACACCTACGGACAATTTAGAATCACCAAATAACCTCAACATGTTTTTGGACTGTGTGGGAGGAAGCCGGAGAACCCGGAGAGAACCCATGCTGCATGGGGAGAACATGCAAACTCCACGCAGAAAGATTCCGGTGCCCCCACCGGGACGCGAACCGGCAACCTTCTTGCTGCGAGGCAACAGTGCTACCAACTGCGCCACCTTGCAGCTCCACAAATATAGATTTTCTAACTTTTCACGTATACATCTTTTTACTAGCGACACCTGCAGCGTCCGTATAGGAAAACAAGATGGTGAGCTTTCATTTTGGGGTCGTTACCTTTTTAGTTTTTGGACTCTGTGAAACTTCAACGAGTTTGTGTAATGAGGGTAAGATGACAGCTACGGATTACAATCAGCTCTGTAAAGGATAAAGTTACTAAGCAACCGTCTGGTGGTACTGGCAAATAAACGGCAACAAGGGGATCAGGACAAGCAGTCATGTTCTGTATACAGGTAGTTTAATTAAAAAAATCTGTTTAATACTTGCATGGTAGGCTACATCAATGTATTCTGCGTGTGAACAGTACTGCAGAGCATGCGCACTATTGCCCTTTGTAGCGTAGCCACCGCACAAACACAAATCAGGGCAGCATGTGAACGTCCGTAGAAGAGTCTGCAAAGAATTGTTGAAATTTGGGTCACGTTGACCCCAGCAGACCTGTGCCTACTTTCAGATGTGGAATGTCTAACACGGGCCTCACACGCTGCCTGACTCACGCTAGTTTCATTGATGTAGTGAAAGCATAGTGATGCAGCAGCCGCTCGATGATCAGTCAGCATATGTTACATGTTCAGTGTAGCCACAGGGATACGTGTCCACAGCACGGTTTTTAGGCACATCAGACTGCCCTGCTAGGACATTTGACTGACATACAACTAGGTGGGTTACGACAGATGACTGACAGGTGCTCGTCAACAGGAATCCAACTCTAGACAACCACACAATCACTGGCTGCATCTTGTTGGACGAGCGCATCACTTGGGGGCTGTCTGCTCGTGGATTTCAGACATGGCAGCTCGTTTGGAAACTTCTGCTTGTGTTGCAAAAAAAAATCACTAAAATGTGTTTGTGGAAGCGTTTAGGTGAGAAATAACCATTAGCTTAGAAGTTTTTTAGGAGTTTCCAGAGCGCTGGGTTATGACCGGATGCCCCTGAATTGCCTAAAAGCAGCTAACACCTCAATGCTATGCAAATAATGAGCAGAAAATGGTCTTTAAAACGCATCGCGACACGACCACTATCACTACCGCTTACATGGAAATGAAGAATCTTTTGCACCATTGGAATCTCTGCCAAGTAGAATGGAAATTCTTCTGGAGACTCCTGGTGGACCAATAGCTTAATTTTGGGTTGTTTTATTCCTTCTTTTGATCACCAGTTTCTCTGTATTTACTGAGAAAAAACAGACTACAATATATACTGATAATGACTTCAAATGTTTTTTTTTTTTTAAATCAGGTCTTCATCAGGAATTTGTAATTCTTCCTTTTTCCGTTCAGAATGGTACAGAACAGATCTGCTTCTACCCCAAACAGCCAGTTAAACACGACGGTGCCGTCTTAATACTTAGATACATTCCGGCTTTTTTCTCTCTCCAGGTTTAAAAATCCTTCCTTTCATTAAAGGATCACGGCGTTCAACCTGGATTCCCTCGGTCAGTGCACATGATGTAAAGCAGAGATCTTCTTAATAATTTGTGCACTCAGTGACGGCTTAAAAGGGATTTGAGGTGACCTCGATGAAACAGACTTTAATAGATCTGGTATGAGTGTGCTCTTGCATTACATTACATTCGAAACTGGCCGATCCGTGATCAACTGTAATTAAGTGGCGATTATATAACACATCTGTCGTCAAGAAGTTGTTTCTGGGGCCCCGGTGCAACTCGGACTGGACAAACAAAAACTTCCCTAATGGCATCAAGATTTCCATCAATTCTTGGGCACACACAAACATGCTCACAAAGAAGAAAACGCACACACGGTCACTTGGCCTTGTCATCCTTCCCTCTGACTTTCCTCAGATATGAACAATTGATTTAAATAGTCGTATTCTCTGATCTATAAGCAGGCTGGTATTGTATTAAAGGCAGGATGTGGAGCCCAAACCTCAATGTGCTTCTTGTGTGTGTGTGCATCCAAGACAGAAGCCACCAGTGTGTATGCGTGCATGCCTTTCTGCAGCTGTGCAAGGTGGGGGATCTTTTGCGTGACCTGAGTGCGTTGCAGTCGCCATGATATGTCCCCTCGTTTCTATTTTTCAGGATGTGGTGCGTCGGAGCGTACGCTTCCCCAGCAGCTCATTGTTACCTGAGCAGCAGAAGGAAACAACTGCAGTTCCGACTCGCTGTGTTTTTGTGCCTCTGCGGCTTTTGTTCCTTTCGGTAAAGGCAAAAAAGGAAAAAACAGTTATCAATGTGCGGGTATGCGTGTCTGTTTTGTGTGACTATATGTGCCTATTTATGAGTGCTGAAGCAATGTGTGGCGGCAATGGTACAGGGGCTTGGTGGGTTTAAATCTGTACTCATAACCTTACGATGACAATAAGAGTCTACAAAGAATAAACACTTCACATTTTCTTATGTAAAGAACTGAGATAACCCACGAATGCAACAGAATGTTAAGGCCACACCTCAAATTTCCAGTGTGAGAAAGATGTAGAGGGGAGGGGGGTTTGCGGTGGTGTTCAATTATCTGACATCATTTCATTTTAATCATACAGTCACCTTTACAGTTTCTGTTGTGAGCTGAAGGTGAGAGAACGCTACAAAAGTACAGGTAATATTCAGCTGAACTATGAGTCTATGTTGGACCTATTACCTGCATTATACAATCGATTCCTCCTGCTGATGTCATGCTGTGTTCGTTTAGGCTGGATTGATGGCCATGATAGACGACTAAATGGCCAAGATAGCCGAGATGTCTAATAAATACAAAAGAGTGACAAATTAAAAGAAAAGTGGAGCTGCTAACCCCCATAGATCTGGTGGCTTGGGTCCACCTGGAGGAAATGGTCACTGCAGATCAATACAGAGATGCTCTCAGTGATGCCCTTTATCCTAAAATGAAGTGTTTCTAACCTGATGGCTGTGGTCTCTTGCCCCCATCCACAGGGCACAAGGGTAGATGAGTATGGAAATTATGTAAATCATATTTATCATATTTGCTTTCTGTCATTTCAGACATCAGAATTCTACAAAGAGCACATAAAACTAAGCAGTTTCTGAAATTTTAAATCACTATAGAATCGACTGCTGAGTGTTTAGAAAATAGTGAATGAGTGAAAGTCAGAGCAGCATATTTCAGGTAACCCTGGGACAGCACTGTATGCCAGGAGATTTATCATACAACGGCTAAGCAGCTTTAACTGAATTTGTATCTCATTTCACTTAATTTGTATTGAACTTGTATTTTATCTTAAGGAGCCAACATAAAGAAATAAAGCCAGAACTAATCCATTCGTGCTTTTGGAGCTCGTTCTTGTGTGGCATACTTGCAAAGGCCTTTTGTTTGTCTAGTGATTTTGGTTTGGAGATTTTGGGGAAAACGAGCAGAGTTGAACGGGGTTGGGGAGGTTGTTGTCTCCCTCAGGGGCGTGAGGAGGTTTCTCAGAAAACACTGCCAGTCACGTCTGGCCCTCTGTGGACAGTAAATCACGCTCTTTGCCGGAGTGCTTCCGCACAGCAGCCCCAGCTCCCTCCTCAGCTGGAAAGGCAATACGCCACGTACCCCAGGCGGTGGGACCACCCAGGAGGCATATGGGGTCACACACACACACATGCACAGAAAAACAAATAAGCATGTGGTCGTACAATCACATATACCCCCACAATCAAGCACATGCAGAGCAGATACACACATATATCAGCCAATACGCTTGTCCTCGGGATGTGAGGTGGGATGGTTTGTGGCACTAGGGGTGAGGGGGCACAGGAATTTCACAACAAGTGGTGGTTTTAGCGTTTTTTTCTCGCTGGGATCTGAATACCGCAGAAACTCCCGACTTCCTCTTTTGCACATATCAAAGGACGGCCTGGCTGACCCTCTGTGTTCAAAGGGTCTGTGGGCAAGTCAGACACTCCAAGAAAACATCTCAAAAACAGTTATAAATTAATTAAGAAAGAAATATTTCACCAGGAACAGACGTTTGGGAAAAGGACAACAGACAGAGGTTAGGTCAAGACAAAGAGGGAAAACAACATGAGGCCCAAAATGTACCTAAAGCTCAATAACAAACTGTCATTCAAATTTATTTGTTGGTTGGATGCCTCAGCCCACGAGGCAAACCAAACTACTAAAAGATGGTGAGCAATTTTGGGATGGCTGCCATGTGCAACTGTGTTTTGGTTTCCCAAATTATGTTGTTTTCGGGAAGTGCAAAGAGGAAATCAATGCGAAGAGAAACAGTGATGTTTCACAACAACTGCTCGGAGCAGCCATGGATGCTCTTCTGTGTGTCGGTGACGGATTGCTATATTGAAGTTTTATGACTTTATCAGAAATGATAGCTTGAAGCTACTCTTGAAACACAATGTAGTTCAAGACTTTGATTCTTTGAGGAAGGTACTTAAAAATCAAGACATAATATCTGATATTACCTTGACAGAAAAGGTTTTTGGTGTAATCATTTTATAAAGACACCAAGAAAGAGAGAAATAAGAGTTCATGTGAAAAGCGTTGCGGATCACATTTGAAACCCAGACTTCTCCTGGCACATGGTACCTGCAGATTTCTATGATTAGGAAACTTTTTTTTTTTTTCCATTCTAAAGCATTTTGACTTCCTACGTGACAGCAGGACAGTGTTTACTTGCCTGCTTCTTTGCAAACAGCTGCGAGATCTGCTCCAACGTATCCATGTGCGGCATCTGCCAGCTGTGTCAGCTCCTCTGTGGTTGCACTACACGGGACAGAACTCAGCTGCCTCTGCAAAATATCTGCACGCTCTGCAGCACCAGGAACTCCCACCTGTCATCACGCAATCAACAGCACAGAAGAGACATTATGGGACAGCAAATTTAATTTACGATCAGTCAAGTAACTGTGACAGAATATAGGAGGAACTCTGACGAAGCCCCACAAATGCAAACAGAAGCTTGTGAAGATAGTTTCAGCAGTTTGATCATTGTGATCATGGATCCTACAGACAAACAGCAGTTCTCCACAAATAGGTGAGTGCTGAATGAAAACACACTACTGTTTAAACACTCATGTTTGCTGTCCGGCCTGGTTGTTCGTACCTCCAGCTCCTTGTCAAAGCGTCCTGGCCTGCGCAGGGCAGGGTCGAGGGCGTGGGGCCGGTTCGTGGCCCCCAAGACCAGCAGCTGACCCGAGTGACCCTCCTGGAAGAAAAAGAAAGAAAGCAGAGATCTGGTAATTCTGGTGTAATGTGGCTGATATGTCATCATGCTGCTGTTGTAAATAATCCAGATGTGCCTGCGTTATATTGAGTGATAAGGTATATACCAATCAGCCACACCACCTAAAGGTCCCCCTGAAGCTCTGACCCATCAAAGTTTGGGCTTCACAAGACCTCTGAAGGTGTCCTGTGGTATCAGACACCAAGATGTGAGCTCCAGATCCTTTAAGGCCTTAAAGCTACAAGGTAGAGTCTACATGGATGAGACTTGTTTCTCTAGCACATCCCACAGATAGTAAATCTGAGTGAGATCTGCAGAATTTGGGGGCCAAGTCAGCACCGTCAGCTCTTTTGTCACAATCCTCAAACCAGTCCTGACCAATGTTTGCAGTGTGGCAGGGAACATGATCCTACCAGTCAATGATGCACACCTACCAGGCCGCTCACATGACGAAAAAATAATACGTGATTCAAGAGACGAGGCCACTTTCTTCCATGTTCCAGTTCTGAAAGTCATCGTAGGTGCTTCCAGCAGTAGCCAGGGGTCAGCATGGTAACTCTGACCTGTCATAGCAAGCTGTGATGCTCTGTGTTCTGACACCTTTCTGTCACAGCAGCACTGAGGTCGTTAGCATTTTGTTGTACAATAGTTCTTCTGTGGGATCAGACCACAAGGGCAAGTCTTCCCAGTTGCCGTTTTGGAGTTGCATTGACTCATCCTCACGCTACCCAGTTTTCCTGCTTCCAACACATCAACTACAAGAACTGCCTGTTCACTTGCTGCCCAATATATCAGTTTGCAAAAGGATAATCAATGCTATTTACTTCATCTGCCAGTGCTTTTCATGTTGTGGTTGCTCAGTGTATATAAACATTTGCTTATATCCTATAGCTTACCTGACTTAATTTTCCCCAAAACAAAGTCAGTAACTACATGGTTACCTTATGAGGCAACAATATACGACTTTATGGAAGAACATTTCCTTTTAGGCTGCTGGGAATGTCATAACAACAAACAGTCAGTCAGGATTTCAAAGGAAATGGGCAAGATGGTAAATTCTGGATTTGTCAGGGAAAACTACAGATGTCAAATGTTTAACAAGTCACGCTTTCGTAGATGCGTTTCTGAAAAAACAACAATGATATAAAAGTGTAGAACTGAGCAGATAATTGACATAAACTGGTAAATGTCAAGCTCAAGTCAAATCAGCTGGACTGGTTGACGTACACACATATTGCTGTTGAGTCAACAACATTAAATTTTCAGGTGTGAAGTAAAACTGCAGTGTGTACAACTTAATGAACACACTTTTGTGGCCATATCCCTCCCGTTTTCCGTGTTTCATGTGCTTAAGAAATTTTTCTAAGCTTCTGAGAATTTTTGGCCCCCGGTCAGATGCTAAACTTGGCCGAGTCCTGTGTTTCTTGGGGTGGTCCGCCTGCAAGATGAGAAATATATTTTCCACCTTTAAAAACTGCAGGGATAACTGAAACACAAATAAATTACAGTGCAAGCAAGAATGCTGAGGAGCAGGAAGCGCTTTCTCCACATTCCACAAACCGATCAGTGTTGATGACCTCTGGAAAACAGGCGGGAGCAGGGAGGGGTAGCTGGTGTATCTGTGTAACATCAGCAATCCGCGTGAGGGCTTTCTCTGCCGGGGAGACGTCGAGATGCACTTTGCTGATAAAGTTACGGCAAATTGGCAGCTCACGGCAACCTCGGGTGATTTCTTTCCCAGGCTCCCTTTGGGGGTGTGCGGGGTGGAATCGTCTTTTTTCTCATCAGGCACTAACACACAGCTCAGAGGACAAACGACACCCCAGAGATGCAACCCACAGTGTCTGAAGGCCGTCCAGCACGCAGAGATGGTTTCTGCATGACAATCTGCATTTCCAATGAGGACACATCCTGACAGAGCCGCATTCTGCTGCAGAAAGACATCGCCTAAAGTCATGTGTTTACAGAACAAGCAGCTGCTGGTCAGCGTTATGCTGACCGTCTCGCAATTATCAGTCTGATGCAACACAGACTATTGTATTGATTAAATAAAGGGAAGACATGTAAGCATCCTTTTAGAGCAGTAAGCAGGCAACATCCTGAAAGTAGGACACACTTAGGACACACCTTCAGTGCTTGGCAAAGCCCTTTGTACTGCACTAAACTGTATTAAAAGTGCTATATAAATAAAGCTAGACTGATTTTTTTATTTTAAATAATTGGACAAATTATATAAAGCTGGAAGAGAAGCCAAACTATAAACAGTACTGCCTAATCATTTGTGGAAGCTGACTACCAGGAACGTCTGTTTGCCTTTCTACTTTAATTATTACTCAACTGCACATATTAAATGAATGTTAAATGGAAAAGAGCTGACACGGTTTTAATCTAAGAGTCAACATCTAATAGACATTATGGTAGACAGTGAATAACTTACTGAACCAATGCCGTCCATAAGAGTCAGGAGAGAAGCAACAACTCGTTTCTCCACCTCATTCTGAGCTCCCTCTCGCTTTGGGCACAAAGCATCCAGCTCATCAATGAAGATTATCGCAGGCTGCCTGTCAAACCAAGTACAATGGGAGAGAATTCTAATTAGTGCTGCATTTTATTTGAGGAATATGTACTTTGAAAGATGACTGAAAATATATGAATTATTATTTTGTACATTCACTACTCTACTGGGTAAAGCAACTTGAACATTTACTATGATGTTCTATGACTGTGAGAAGACAGATCTATATTATTTGACGACAAAAAAGGGAATCAAACAGTGTTATGCATATAAAGAAATAACGTGTGAATGATATTTGTGCTACTTTATGAACACAGATAGCTGGATAGATTGGATTTACCTCTGAGACGCCTCAGTGAATATTTGCCTCAGCCTTGCTTCTGTTTCACCATAGAATCTGCAAAGACATAACACAACATGCTCGCTTTAGGTCAACTATCTACTTTCTTATTCATTCTCTGACTTCACATCATGTGTGAAGTAATGAGCAATGGCTTCCTCTCATTTGTACAGAACACATACTGCCTAATATTCTAGCAGAAAGAAAAAACGCGCCATATGACCGTACTTGCTCATGATCTCTGGGCCATTGATCACCGTCATGTGAGCTCCGACCTCATTGGCTATGGCTCGGCCGATCATCGTCTTTCCGGTGCCCGGGGGACCATACAATAGAACTCCTCTTGGAGGAGGGATCCCTGATTAGACAACAGTTTGCAATTAGATGTTTGATTTTTTTAATGCAAGTCAAAGCTTGTAAATAAATCTACATTGAACATCATACATAATAATGAGATCATAAAGGGCATCTGGCACTCAAATGGTACATTGTCAACTCTTCATGTAGACACGAGGGATAAGTGTTGTACGACCTGACCTACCAAAGTTGGAAAACAGCTCAGGGCGTTTCAGAGGGAGTTCAATGGTCTCTCTGATGACATCCAACTGGCTGCTGAGTCCCCCTATCATGCTGTAGGTGACCTTTGACCTTTTGTTGTCAGCATCAGGATCTGGCTGCCCTGCTCTGCTTTTAAAACTGACTTTGGTGGAGCATGAGAGACAGTAGAAGGTGTCTGTACTCAAAGCACCAGCAGAGGGTGCTGTGGAGACTTTCTCTGCCTGCTCTAAACTGAGAGAGCTCTCCAGACTGACTGCAGTCTCTGCTGGTTCTGCAGAAGGATTCTGGGAGTTGCAGGAAGTCGTGCAGGGAGCAAGAGGTGAGGAGACAGAAAGGAGGGCGGCTGGCCGGCGTGGGGTGCTGGCTGTAGGACCAGGCTCTCCAGGCGTGCTTGGTGCCACATCGCTGGTGTCATCCACAGTAAGCATGCTGAGCTGCAGGGAGAGGTCAGCTGCCGTGGAGTCCAGCACCGAGTTCATGACAGAGGACTCCTCTGTGTCAGGGCCCATTCCTGGGGGAGGCGCCGGTCTCTGGAGGGTGACGCCGTCCTCCCCTCTAATGGTCTCGACCCGGAGGCTGCATGACCGGCCAAAATAACTCAAGGAAAGGACATTTCCTGGCAGAATGATGTTCCCGACTGGTACAAGATAGAAACTCACAGTTGTTATTCCAGCAGAGGAAATGGAGAAATCTACTCAATAAAACCGCTATGAGACCTGCAATTAGGTTTAATTTAATTTTGTTGCAAAATTGTGCAAAAGTTCAGTTCTTAAAGTCTAAGGTGCACAATAATGTACAGTGTAGCTGAAAGGGAAAACAAGACCTTGCATTTACTACAACATAGTAATAAATTACACACCAAAACATCAACCTATACATAATAAATACGATATCCAACTGCTTTACAAACAAACTGCTCTGTGTATTCAGCAAATGGTTAAACATCTCATCAAGCTATTTAAAGACAGAGATATATATCAAAGCATATGTGTTCAATGCCATGCGCTTTCCACTGACATGTTTATAATCTTGCAGCTGTGAGATAAAATCATGAACTTACCCAAAGTCCTCAAAAAGAAGTTCTTGAATTCATCTGTGTCTAGTGTGTCATCTTTTGACCTGAATAAAAATGACAGAGTTAAGAAAAACAACTAAACACAAGTTTTATTGTTTGGTTTTTACTGCTCATGGATTATTGAGATTTGAGTTGCAGTTGCATGTTGTATCCAGCAGATGGCGGTCTTTACCTAAAATACACAACAATAAAGCCCAAGCACTTCAGTCAGTGACTGTAAAAGGGAGAAAACTATTATTGATATACCTGAATGTTGTTATAAAAACTTCCTCTCACAACACCTTCATCCAGTTGTATCTATTTGTATTGGGATTTAACATTTCAGATGCAGATGATCATAAATGATGTTTTTTTTTATTGCATTACTTTCGCTGTTTCATGACAATACAAATTCAGCGTCACTACAAACCTCCAGAACGACAGTTGAATGGGTTTCTTTTTCAGAAAAACACATAATCGTCATGAATATTGGATTTCTTGCATGACTGCTTATTAGACTGCATTAGTTTTTCTCAGTAAACTGGCAACTGTGTACAATTACTGCTGTTGTCTAATTTCAGGTACAGTGTAAATAGGGCACTATTTTCTTGTACTATAATAAGCAATTTCCTTGTAGTTTCAATTATAATTCCATTGACATTCACTCAATGAAAGTTAGGAGAACCTCACCTATTACAGAGAACCACTTCTTGAGCCTGGAGCACAGGACCTGTTATCGGGTGCAGCACCACCTCGTCTCCTGACTTCACTCTCAGGTTGTTCTGGGCGCACTTCTGAAGGCCGACTTTTCCACCTGGAAAGGAGGCAACAGGCCACCCCAAGCACACCTGGCAAACAAAGGAAACAGACAGATGATTATTAATAGCTAGTAGCTAAAGGTCAAGAAGGTGACATCCTGAGAACATGATTCATTAATATGAGAAGAGAAGAGGATACCTCTTGTAGTCCTGTGGGGCTAGTCAGCAGGACTGGTCTCCCGATGCATACATGGGCTGACTTCATTGAATTGAGGCCAAGTTGGGCTAAAGTTGACCTACAACTTTTTGGTGTTTTGTCATCAGCTGTGAAACAAATTAAAAAAAAAAAATAAAAACGTGATTAAAGAAAAGGAAGTAGAGAAGTGTTTGCAGTAAATCAAAATATCCATCCTGAATATTTCATGTTAAACATTAAAATCTTTTAAATGCTGTAGCTCTTCCCAGCGATGATCTAATGTCTTCTAATACTGCCGAGTACAACAAATGATAGCATTGCATTTCATGGACAATCTCATCATACTACTGAATGTAAAATTTTACAATAACAACTTCTCCACGTTTGACAGTAAACAGTTGTCCACAAACCAAAAAAACAGCTGTTCACAAAAGAACTAGATTACAACAACTTAAGGCAGTTAGCATTTGATGAGTGGTTGGGGCTGATCATGTGTACTGGAAACTGGCTCTATTCTGGGTATATCCGATAAACACTGCTACACACTTTGAGATTTTTGGCCAGAGGTCTTTCGTCTGTTCCAGGAAACCGGTTGAAAACTAAAGGGGTCAGAGTGTTTGTAGTTTGGGTCCCAAGGCTCTTGCACGATCTGCTCGAGAGATCAGAATGGCTGAGTCAATGAGCCCCTTTGAATTACTTTTGAAAACATACTTTTATCGGAGAGCTTTTACTGAATTTACTCTAGTCTAAAGTTATTTTGAGTGGTCTTTAATTTCTGTTCAGGATGTTTTACCTTTTCTAACATTTTTGCAGCCTGGTGAAGAACTTTTTGGATTTTGTAAAGTGCTCTAGACATAAAGATTAATATTGGCAGTAGTAGTAGTTGTGTTAATATAATGATATTAGTATTATTATTAAAAATATTATTTTAAGTTATTAATACCTGCTGGTTGGTGGAAGCACTGGTTTGTTAGATGTAAGAGACATGGACATATTTTCAGGATTTTTCACTAGCTTTCAGCTCTAAAGGATGGACTAACAGTTTTTCCAAGTCTGTCTCAAAATGCCAGTCAGGTACCCATGTGAACACATACACAATCTTTACTTATCATTTCTCCTGTCCAAGCTGGACATCAAAAGATGAGCACAAAGTGGAAATTTCCCCTTAAAAATACAGTCAGTCCTGGTAGACACAAACTTGATTTGTCTTTTATCTTACATATAATCTGCTTAAGTAAGTAAAGAGACAAAACTAAGAAACGCGTCCCTCAGTGATGCAGAGGGAGCAGCATCCAGCAGCATCCAGCAGCATCAGTGAGTGCAGCAGGGACCGCTGCAGAGCTTCCATGTTCATACTGCAGATAGCTTCATTTTCTGAGGACATGTGACTACGCTACAACTTATCTATGTACCAAAACATGTTAATCATTTGGGTTTGTGTTCCAAAGTCTTACCTTTTTCAATGAAATCGATGACAGTGAAAGAGTTTGGACTTTTGCAGCGTCCCCCGTCCAGGCCAGCTGTTTGCGGGCTTAAAGAGTCATTTGAGCCCTCCTTCAGTACAACTGAACTATCCCCTTCACTCGCCTTTTTCGATTTGCTTTTATTTTTCTTTGAAGACATTTTAATAGTAAAAACTTTCCCCACGTGAAAGTGCAAACATGTGTAAACATGGAGCGGCGTTGTAAACTTCCTGGTTAAAGTTTAGTCCCGCCTTCTTTTACCGTAAATCCTGTTATGTCCTGCAGACGTTTTACGGCAGCTTTTTTTTTCTTTTTTTTTAAATTTATTATTCCATTAACTATTCTAAATGTGTGTTTTATATAGATTTGATTAGTAAAACACTAATGATAATTGGAAAAAAGTTATTCTTAATTCAAAGACGTTGTCTATGAAATCCAGGAACAAATCTGTTCTCAATAGAGATTTCAGCAAACTGCTATATAAAAATCGTATAATTTAAACTTTTCTTTGTCATCTACAAGTAATAACACAAAATTCAACATAATTAATCATATTTAAATCACTTTTAAGGTGCTGTCTTATATTCGGCATACGTTTCAGATGTTAAGACAATTTATTTCTTTCCCTGTCAAAGGTTACTTTGGATTTTTTTCTCAGCGTCTTTGCATCTGATAACACTTTGAGGAAAGCCGTGACGAGCCACAACGACCAGTGTTAGCCCAGCGTAACACGTTATATTTTGTTCATTTAAGTGCATTAACCGGCAGAAATTGACAGCCGAAATTAACATCATGCCTTAGCGATTATTTATTAGCAACGACAATCCTAGGGAATTGCCACGAAATTGTAAACTAGCTAAATTGGCAGATATGTTGTGGGAGTTTGTTACAGTGCCTCTCCGGAGCTAACATCTCTGTGGCTAGCTACTCTTCGGGCCGCTTTACCGGATCATTACGGTATTTATACAACTTCCAGGCGGACGTTTACGTAACTGTACAGAACAGCGGACACATGCCGGCTGCAAACTGAACTCATTCTCCGTTTTTTTTTTAAAAAAAAAGAAGGTTGTTTGTGGTGTTTCGGTAACATGGCCGGTTGTGCCTTCGCGTCCAGACTGTCGCCGCTCGTGAGAGGAAGCTTTTGCAGCAAAGTGTGTTGTCCCGCGCGCACCGCTGCCCGTGCGTTCTCGCGCGCCGTCACCTGTCCCCAGCTGCAGCGCGTGCAGGGCAGCGGCGCTTTAACGGGGAAAGTGGACCGGTTCGGCGGAGTGACGGTGAACCTGGCGGACACCGGACTGCCGGCGGACGTCAGCGAGAGTTCGTTCAGCGCTTTACTGGGAGGTTGGTGGTGGTGTTACAGCCCGCTGCTGCTGCTGTGTGTGTGTGAGCAGAGGCGCAAGGACAGGTCCTGTTTTCTAAACTACTCATAAATCATTAACCTGCGTCAAACACGGACTGTCACTGTCAACAGCACAGTAAGAAAGCAAAATATCAACATTATTATTTAGGTAGATTTAAATGCACACGTAATTGAAATATCAAAATAAATATAGAATACAATTTAAAGTTTTGAATTAATGTCACCTGGAAAAAAATATTACTAGTTTGCATATTTTGTAAAATTAAAATAGTTCACTTTAAAAAAAAAAATTTAAAAAAATGTAAAAGTTTTTGTAGAAGCTCATAGAAATGTTTTAAGGATTGAAAATTAGAACGGTTACAGATGAAATGTGTAGTAACACTTTCATCAAGTTTGTGGACGTCACAAAATTGGACAAGAAATCACCTGCCTGATAGTCTGGAGTCCGCAGTAATAGAGTGGATGGTGTCACATATGGGCGCTTGTCACCTTAAATCCAAGAGCGTTTAGTTTTAATTGCAGCAACAAGGTGTGACTGCACATGCCAGCTCTCTGTTACAATTACAACAGTGCTTCAATAAGTTCTGTGCCTCCCCCGGGAACTAGGAGCAGAACTCCCATTTTGGGGCATAACTGTATACTATAAAGCCTGATATCAGTGACCCAAATGTTCAAAGTAATAAGAGAAAAAAGAAGAGGAAAGTGCTGAGTTGCAGGTTGTTGCTCCACGACAGTGAGTCCGTCACATTACAGGTGGCAGAAACAGGCTTTTAAGTGTTGCCTGTTTCCGTCTCACTTCTGTTTCCCAAACTGAAATCCCATGTGCATGCCTGCCATGTTCAGAGTGTTGATGAGGAGTATCTGGAGACTCAAGATGTGACCTTCTTTCGTGAAGGGATAGCAAAGCTTGAAGATCGGTGGACCAAGTGCACTTAAGTTAGAGGAGACTATGTTGAAAAAGAACAATCTTTTTCCAGTGATATTTTTCAGTGAAGTAGAGAAGTTTTGAAGTACCGTTGTACTTTGGGAACAGTAGTGTTAAATCAAACGTGTCGATCAGACTTTAGATGTGTTTCAAGATCAGTGATGATACCTTTAACCACCATAACTCACCTATCTATATTTTAATATAAACCAATTTGCTTATTTATCCCACTTAGGACAATTGTTTCTAGAAATGTACAGTTCCATTTAGCAGCTGTTAATAATTTACTTCAAGGCAAAATGACGACACTCAATGAGCAATTTAAAGTGTTTCTGATTTATTATTTCTTTGTGTATATTTCCAGTAGCTTCAGGATTCACAGCATCAACCTTCCACATTTAAAATCGCATCAAGCCCACTTCCACCCGACTGTGTCTGCTCTTTGTCATGCTCTTTTATCTTTTTAACTGTCTCATCTCTCTTTAGAATCCAATTGAGAGGACATGTCTTGTAAAGCCTTTCACTTGTAATTATGAAATATCTTAGCCATGTTTCCTGTTTCTTTGTGCAGTTTATTGTTGAAAAGACAAAGACTTGAAGGAAAAAAATTAGTTTAAAAAGTTTGTGTGTCCTTTTGACATCTGACGTCTTCGCTCCTCAGATTCTTTAGTCCAGTGGAAAGCAGAGGGGAAGGTTGCGGTGTGGCTTCGAGTCCCCATCTCACTGAGTCGATGCGCTGCAGCCGCCTCGGCTCACGGCTTCACCTTCCATCACGCCAAAAACGACCACGCTGTGCTGGCTCTGTGGCTGGGAGAGGACGAAAGCAGACTGCCGGGTTTTGCAACTCACCAAATTGGAGTGGCAGGTAGAGGTTTTTTTATGCTAGAAGTTCATTCTTCTTTGTTGCACTTTAGCTGCATCTCAGGGTCTTTATAAGCGGACAGGGTTTGCACAGTGGTCATGGAACTAAAATAAACTAGATGAAGTTAAAAGCACTACAAGAAAGCAATAAGGTGGACCTTAAGTTAAGATAATATTGTCAAACCAGTGTGGTTGTATAGTAAGAGAGAACTGAGTTATATGTGCTGCAAAACACATGTAAGTTGTAGCTGGTAGTAACTTGAATTTGATGACCAGCACTAAACAACCACCCCATGGCCTTTATGCTTCAGCCAGGGCCCGTAGTAATTAAATAATATTTACTTTCATTATTGATTATTATCCGTATCCTCCATATTATACAGCATGGTATAATCCATGAGTCTTACATACAGTACATAACATATATTTACAGCAAAAATCTTTGCTCCACGACATAAAAACAAATAAGCAAACAATGGATATGAAAAACGTACGTTCAGAACATTAAACGGAACATTTAACAGTCGAAGCTCTTAAAGGGGAGAAATAAAAGATGGTGAACGAGGTTAAAGAACTGCAAGGTGAAAAGAAAAAACTGCTGAAGAGGAATAACAAACGAGGGGATAAGATAAAAGAAAAGGAAAAGAACAAGACAGGGCAGGATGGGAAGCACAGAAAGGAAGCCGCTGAGAGAAAGATGATGGAACGAGAGAGGAAAAAACTGCAAGGTGGCAAGGAAGATCTCAAGGCCTATAAGAAGGTTCTGGATGAAAAGTTTACAAAACTCAGGGAAGAGAACCAAAGAATGGAAGAGGAAAGAAAAGTTCTCAAAGAGCATGAAGCTGTCGAGCTATACATGAAGGAGGCATTCATAAAACTGAAGGAAAAACTGAGGCAAAGTAATAGAGGACAAGAATCAGAAACTAGAGGAACAGAAAATAGAAATGGAGGCAACAAAGAAAGACCTTCAAAATAAAAGAGAGCTGGAGAAGAAGAACAATGACCTCCAGGAGGTGAAAAAAAGATCTAGAAAAGAGGATCTCCATCAGTAGAAGGATGAAATGGAGGCAAAGAACAAAAACCTCCAGGATGTTAAGAAAGAACTGGAAAAGACAAACAAGGACTCCCAGGAGCAGAAGAAGGAACTGGAGGCAAAGAATGAGGATCAATTGAGAACAACCATAAGGTGATGGAGGAGGAATATACTCGAATGAAAAAATGAGAAGGAGGAAGGGAAGAAGATCCCGGAGCAGAGGAATCTAAAGCTGCAGGAGCTTCTCATACAGAAAAGGAGAAGAGGGGATTCTTTGGCTTGTTCAGGAGGATGACAGAGGAGAAAAAAATGAAAGAGAAGAAATTGAAAGAAGAAAGAGGAAGAAGAAGAAGCAGGGAGGCTGCTGGAGCTGGTTACACTGAACAAGTGAGACGAAGGCTGCCAGTGTTCAGCTGATGGACAACAGTGGCATCCTCTGCCTCCCCACTTTCTCTTACCTCTCTCTGCCTCCCTCCTTCCTCTCTCGGAGGCGAAGTTGGTGCCAGATGACCAATCACAGACATGGAAGGTGTGCTGGCATCAGAGTGACATGTTTTACAAACGAAGAGCAAACTATACTAGAAAAGTTTGGAGGAAGTGCAGTGTTTGACAGTTAATATGTTTTGCTCTATACAAACGTGCAAGTGCATTTTATTTTGAAAAGCCAGCATGTTTCATGAACCCTGGTCAGTACCTTATAAAATCTTTGAGCTTTTATTTTGAAAGTGTAGTTCAGCATCAATCACTGGGAGTCACTGGTTACAGAGAGGAGCAGACAGGCAGACTAAGGATTAGCCCCTCAAACAGCTCAAAAACTGTAACTCGTGCCTCAAAAATGCTCTCAATGTGTGAAGCACAATCTTGTTTTGGACAAGCTGATGTATTTTATATACTTCCTGTTTACAGTGTAGATTTGGTGGCATGTTAGAGAGACTCTGTGATTTTCACCCAGATTTTGGACCATTAAAATGGTAGTCAGTGAGAGTTTTGGTTGGTGCACTCTGTGGTGGTTTATGGAAAAAAAAAAGTAAGTCCTGTGGAAATGAGACTCAAATTGGTCATGTAGAGGAGAAACTGAGAGAAAGAGATAAAATTAACTGCACTTTTTTCAAAAACATTTTCTGGTTAAAATCTACACACTCCAGCTGAAGAAATAATCTGGATTTTCAAACACTTAAACTGTGACTGCGCTAAAACCATTAAAGATATCAAAACACAGGTTGATTGAATAACACTGAAAGCCTTGTACTGCATTTGGACTTTGCATTGAGTTTCTACTGTAAAATCAAAAGCAAAATGTGAAATGAATGATGAAAATCATTTATGTATTAATACAAATCAGTGCTTCAGGTGTCGGAAATGATTACGTAAGTCTGACAGATGATTTTAAGCTGTGTTGAAGTGTAAAACTTTTTCTGTTGCCACTTTTGCATTATTTTAAAATACCTAAAGTTGGAGTAAACTCATACACGAGTGGTTCACTATCCTGTATAGCTTATTTGTCTGTTGGACTGTTGGACAAACAACAGAAGGAGGTGCTGACTTTGTGAATGTCCAGCAGAGGGCAGGATTTAGGCCTTAACCAACCAGTAGATGCACTAGAAGCATGTCAGAACATGTCCAGAGCATCTTCGTGTGAGGAACTGGGCCCAGAAACTCCCTTTTTGTTGCCAAGATTGTCCCCATCATGACGAAAGTGATAGTTGATGATGAAACAAAGGTTAGGAGTCTGAAACAGTACCGATGTTTACATACTCGTTTGCTTGTGTACGTGCTGTCCCTGGCTTTTGATTATTTTTCACAAAAATGCAAACAGCACACTCACTATAAACCAATAAGAAGCACTGATTGAAAAGCAGTCATTCATTAAACTGCCGATTGAATGTTTGTCTGATGTCCTGCCAGAGTCACATTTAAATCAGCAAATACGGTTTGTCACGACTTGGTGCTTACTTTTGTTTATATCCTGTACACCTAAAAAAAACAAAAAAACAAAGGTACTCATTGACACTGTTGATTGTAGAATTATTTGCTTTGGAGCAAAAGAGGTTTGGGCTTTTGTAACATAAAGCTAAATATCAAAAGCAGTTGTTTAGAGGTCAAATCTTATTGCACTGTTTTGACTGCTTAATAACAAGGAGTTGAAATCTTTCACGCTGCAGAACTGCTGCCAGAATAAATCTGTAACTTGGCTTCTAGGATTTAGCCACTAGCCTGGGTTGGCCCGCTTTAGCCACATTAAGCCACACCGCGCATCTGTGATCCTGCTATGTTGGGAAAAGCATCCATGACCAACCTGTGCCCTTCTGCAGAGCTGAATCTGTGCTGAAGACTATGAGGAAACCTGCTCCGTCTCTGTTGAACTCTCAGATATCAGCCTAACTTTCCTGTCAATGGATCACCGTCAGTCATGTCACAGCTTTGTTAAGTGACTGCTCATGTAAACTACACGTTTCCTTTTTATTTAGAAGAAGCAAGAAAACACAGTTTGTTTATCGTAGAGTTAGCAGAGCTTCATTACAGCCTCACCGCCTGTCCTGGACGGTGCAGTGGAAAAACACCCGTAGCGAGCAGAAGTGCATTGATTAATCGATCAGTCGGCAGCTATCTATTTATTCACCAGCTTTTTTGATAATCAATTATGTGGTTTTAGTATTTTTGAAGAAAATTAAAATCTAAATTTGGTGGTTTCCGGTTCCTATATTTGAATATCTCCTGGTTTCTTTCCTTTTCTATGACAATAAACTGAATATTTCTTAGATTGTGGAGAAAACAAGGGATTTTCAGACATCACCTTGGGCTTTGGCAAACACCGATGAACCTTTTTTATGGCATTTTATAGATGAAACAACTACTGGAATTGAAAAGAAAATCTGCAGATGAATTGACAATGAAAGCTAGTTGCAATCCTAGCAGTAACCCAGCAAGGCTCATTTGATCGTCTTTTGTTCACAACACAACTATACACAACCATAAACGTTGTCCCTGTTCGAGTTGGGTCTGTAGCTTTGAATACTTATGTTCACCCAAGCCGAAGACAATAAGATGTGTTTTTTGCAAAATACAGTCATTTTCCTTTTAATTTACAGTTGGTGATTAAAATGTGAAAACAGGAAAAAAAAAAGGAAGTGGCAAGTTATATGTATACATATGACTAAGACGGTAACTGCTGATGTGCCGAGGTGTCCGTGACAAATTCCGCTTATTACAGGAGGATTTCAGCATCACACTGGCTGCTTCTCAGGACCGCGACAAAAACATAGAGGTCAGAGCAAATATGGCAAATTACATTTTCAAACCCCGAGCAGAGCAGGTTCCTCCTGCTGTCTAGGTTGACTAAGCTGGCCTTTTTTTTTTTTCTTTCAACAGGCTTAAGCAGTAGAGGAAATACATTTTGGCTCATATATGCACAAATGAGCGTTATTATTGTGACTCACTAGCAGTGTATTAAAGTTGGATGCATCGTGTAGTGACTCATGGAAACTGTAAGCATTGTTTTTATCCTCCCGCCTTACATTGGCGCTTGTGTTACCGTACGCTCCATCATATTGACAGTAAAAGCTGGTCAGGCTACGTCACAACCGCAATGGCCTCGTACTATAAAGACGACATCGTAGAAATTACTATAAGCCCAAGTCAAAAAGCAGCGTAATCAAATATAACGGAGATGCATCAAACTTCTCTGTGGCTCAGTTGAACTGCAACCTCAAGCGATTAACAGTTTTTTACTACGGAGCTCACAGTCCGCCTCTGATGATTGCTTCTGGGCTTTCTGTCTCACACTGTAATTCTTTTTTTTTTTCTCTTGCTCCTCATGAGCATGTTGTTTCCTGGACTGAAGGCTACATAATGATAGCCTCCCTTCGCAGAAACCAGGCCTCCTCCTGCGCCATATGGCACAGGGATCGGGGATGACATCAATTTCCACTTGGAAGTCCAAGTCAAGCCTTTAAGACGACCCATCCCTCTTTACACATCTGTGACATTCATCTAAGGAGGCCCGTCCTGGTCGGTCAGACGTAGCAACCGGAAAAGAAAGTGGCCCATTTTCCCTCTTCCTCCTCCCCCTGAGCTGTCAGCAGCCGCACATAGCTGCCTCTCTTAGTCACTACCTGCTGAAAACAAATCCGCTCCAACAAGAGAAAAAAAAAAAAAGAAGTAAAATGTTGAAGTGGGATGTCTACATCATTGTCAAGTACAGCTGAGTCACTTAGACCCTGTTTAGCTCGAGAAAGTAATGAATTTGGCTTTTCCACATAAACATTCTTTTTTAACCCCTTCTTTTTAAAAAATTGTTCATTCAAGGGCTTCACAGTTGAGCTGTCACAATGAGGGTGGTGACGATACACTACAGCTGTGTATATATTTAGTTTGTTTGGGAGGGTAAGCTTGGCCATAATTACTTTTGTAGTACTGATGTTAAAGCAGCTCTCATAAATAATTCACCAATTAATCTCGACTAATTACAGTTGAATGATGTGGCTCGTATAAAGATCCCACAGAGAACAAGTCACCATCAGCCCTCTGGAGTGTGTTAGCATCTTTTTTTGTTTTTTGGCCTGCGCTGCCTTTGTCAGTGCCATGTAAGTTTAATATTAATAAAAATGCTGACCAAGTTTGTGACTATCTGGTGAACATAGTGGAGCATTTAGTAACCAAAGAGGCGGGTGTTTCCTTCAGGAGTTTAAAGAAGAAAACAACTAAAAGGAGAGCAAATATTAAACTTAAATATTAAACTTAAATCCACAAATGTTGCTCTGCTACCAAGTTAGCCATATCAACATAAGGGTGAGAATATGTCAGTGTTGCATTTCTAGCTGTTTTTGTAGCTGCCAAGAGGCAAAAAAAATCCCACTCTTGTGACGCAGTAATATATGTCAACTAAATCTCCTCTCAACCAGAGCTGGATGCAGATTGGACGCCGTCTGGCTTTGTTGATTTGCTAAAAGGAATGGAAATAAATTTGTTGACGCTGATGTATAAATGGAATTTAGAAAAGGAAAATAGAAAGCAAGCACATGTAGACAATCATAAACAGTTGCAGTCTGACTGGAGTCTCTGTGAAGCAGGGGGAGCTGTCTCCTGGATGGGTCCGATGTGGATCCAGGCACCGTAGAGTCGATGTGCATCAGACACCCTGTGCAGGACCTCCGTGACTGTAACACTCGTGCTTTTGTAAACTCACCTTAGGATTAATGTCAAATGGTAATTTGATACAGTTTTATTTATGGCAACACTCACATGGCTCTAAACTAAATTACTCAAATCGAGCAAACGATTAGCACCAAGCCGAGCAGTGTCATTGGCACTAATGTGGCTGTTCTAAGTACAACTTCATACATCTTGAAGTCCATGTTAAACAGTACTAAAAATATGTCTTCTGGGTTTTTCAAACGAACAACCAGGCCACATTTCAGATGTTTAAACAATTGCCTAGCAGGTAATTTACAAGTTGCTTTTGACAGAAGTGTGCAAAGCTACAGTGTAGAATGGTCTCTGCAGAGGTGGCTGCTGGTGGTGGTCCTCAGCTCTCCATCAGTGCCGCTCTGTGCTGGGCTTCTCTTCTTCAGCTCATCATTCTGAGCTCTTTTGCAAATTCTGGCATACAGGGAAGTTGCATTTGCTGGAGGAACGTATAGCTAGCGAGCAAACTATCATTAAAATTGAATTTCCCTTCTGGGATGAATAAAGTATTTTTCATTTCATTTCATTTCATTCATTCATCAGCGGTAGTAGATTCATGTCACACTCACATTCACACCTATGGACAGTTTAGAGTCACTAATTAAACTCAGCATGTCTTTGGACTGTGGGAGGAAGCCGGAGAACCCGGTCAGAACTGCTGAGATTTGAACCCAGGACCTTCCAGCTGTGAGGCGACAGTGCTAATCACTGCATACCATGCCGCCCCATGTGTTATCTTTAGAAACAAATCTCAGAATTTCCTCGACATAAACTTCAAGCAGCAGAGATGTGTAGCAAAACATAAAAAAGACAAGGCAGCTGTTGTGTCATCTGATAGAGGCTCGCCTCCAGGTTTTTTTAATGTCATTTCCAGCCAAGTAATTAACTTTCAGCTCGACTGCCAACGCTTAGAATTGTTCCTACAAAAAGTACTTGTGTGCAAAATGTGGACCCACTTCTATGCACAAGCGCTTGCATAATGATTGAAATTAATGTGTGATTGTTTCATCCAGGTGCCGTTGTCGATGAGTCCAGTGGAAAAGTCCTCGTCGTCCAAGACAGAAACAAGGTACTTTGTTTCAAGTAACTCAATTAACTCTGTTGCATTCAATACATAACACGAATTACATTTTTTGATATATATATATTTTCTGTTTTGCTTTCGGTAAATGTATGCATATTTAGGCTGTAACAGTGTGAGGAAGGGAAGTGACTGGAATGAAAGGAATGTCACCAGCTCTTTCCTGGACACCGCTGGTTAATAAGTGAACCAGTGAAGCATCAGTTGCCATGTCGCTGCTAAAAAAATGTCAGTGATTAGCTTGGTTTATTTAGTCCCTTGTGCGTTGCCTCTGTTGACCCAAAGGTGGGTGGAAACCTCTCAGACCTGCAGCTCCTCTCACACTTAACATAGCTGCGTACAACATCAACTGACCTCAAGCAAACACGGTGTTTACATGAGCTGAACGCTCTCAAACGGCTGTGTGTGTGTCTGCTCTCACAGGGCGCTGCTGTGGTGCTCGCGTTGTTTGGAGGTTGACTTACAACAGGCCTCCTTTGAAACCTTTACTGCACAGCTTTGTTTGCATGTTTAGTCAGGCCAAATGAGATTGCCACCAATTTAGAAAAGTGATTGCAGCATGCCGCGGCAGTTTGGTAACCAATTACGTTTTCACTTAAACGGATCTAAATGAGGCAATGAATAAAGGCCCTTTCAAACAAGCTGCCTGAACTAAAAGCAAATAAATGTCACATCAGAGAGTTTGTGCATGCCGTTTGACACAACATGATGCCAGTACTGACTTTATGAGCACTTCAAATGTTCACACATGAACCCTTGATGATAATATTTCAGCTGCTCTGTACACACAGAGAGGGATCATATGGGTGTTGGTGCAGGTTAAAGACTGACAGTACACCCAGCAAGAAGAAGAGGAGGAAGAGGAAGAAGAAGAAAAAGAAGGCAGCAACAGCAGAGTCACATAGCACAAAAATGTAGTACAAAAATGATTTGTTTGTCAGTAGCTAGTTTAGATTTTCCTGGTCAAAAAAAAGTGCATCCTTTTATTTCAGCCACTATTTTTTAAAAGTCTACAGCTGTATATCATTTATTTTATTCTGTCCATTATGATTCAGAACATCAACATAAAGTTCTAAAACACAGCACACAACAGCAGAACTGATGGCAGAGTAGGGTATATTTTGTCAGCTGACATCATCTTTGTAGGTGTTTTGACCGGACTGGAAACAGACAACCAACAGTCTAAAGAAACCTTTTAGTTATTAAAAAAAAAATTAAATCAATTCCTCTGACCTAAAATTCCAGGTACTTTGTGTGGAAATGCGACCAGAGGGTGTTTCTGCTGAACTACAATTTTGCAAGACATAAAAGATTCAACCACTAAAACTAACTTTTCTGTTCAGGAATGCAAGTAAATAACTAGAGTTTGACATCTTAATCAAGAAAATAATAATGTCCTTCCTATTTTTTTTCTTTTTTTTTGTAAAACACTACATTTGAAAATTCATGGATAACAATAGTATTTATATTTTAGCATTAAAAATATGACTTTGGTTAAAGAGCTTCTACATACTGGTGTATTAAACATTACAGAAACATAAAATATGACTTTGGTAATTATCAGATTAATTATATCTGTTAATTTAGGGCAGCTGTGGCGTAAACCTTACATTGGGTTGTGCTCTAATAAATTTGTTAAGCACTGTATGTAATTATTGGCTGGTTAAGATGTGTTAAAAGCCTTAAAATAAATTAAATTTTTATTGCAGAAGCATACTCTCACACTGAAAATTGTAGAAAAACGTAACCTTCAACTCACCTCAAATGAATTGTTGGCAAAAGGGGGTTGTACAAGTATGAACATCAAGGGTGCTAATAATTGTGGCACAAAGGATTTGATGTAAAAGAATTATTTTTTAATGTGGGATTTTTTTTTCCCACTGAATAAATGCATTGTTGTCCTATATTATTTAGAAAAAAACAGAATTTACTAGAAGCTAAAGAACACATCTTAACCAGGGGTGCCAATAATTATGGAGAGCGCTGTATATAGAATATGATTTATCTGAGAGAGTGTGTGTGTGTGTGTGTGTGTGTGTGTGTGTGTGTGGGTGCGGGTGCGGGTGCGTGCGTGCGTGTTCTCAAATACATCATAATATGTTCTCATTTTCCAAGACTAATCTACAATCTATTTGATTGAACATAATTTAGTCATATTTAAGGTTTCTTAATTATTATTATTATTTTTAAATTATAAAAACTTTTTTTTTGTGTGTGTGTTTTTTGTTTTATTTTGTTTTTCTTTACTTACCTCACAAGTCGTGGAGTTTGATGACATGGAGGCTCCACGTGTGCACAGCAAAATTAGAGAGGAACAATGAAAGGTTTGGTTGCAAAAAGAAATGCAACATCAGTTGTAGGGTAATGTTTCAGCTGCAGAGATGATGATGTTGACAAAAACAAACAGTGCCTTGCACTACATGAAGCAACACAAGTAATTAGTCTGACTGTTTCAATCAGCACCACAGTGCTCTGTGTGACAAGTGCAAAGCCAGATCTGAACGCCATCCAAAGCTACAAACTATTGTACATGTCTTTGCCAGTGTCACATGACATGAGAAAGGTTTCTAATGGCTTTCTTCAACTTTTTTATCATTTTTCTTTTTTTTCTGTGCATATGTACTTTTACAAAATCACCCCAATCAAGCAGAATTATTAATTATTTCCAAATACTCATTCAAATCATCGGGTGAATATCCTCTGATTTTTTCACTTTGCAACATTTTGTTTTTCTGCGATATATATATATATTGCACTATATTACTTTATCCACTATCATCTCTGTAATCTCTATAATCTGAGCAGTTCCAGTAAAGATGACAAATACAGTTTGCATTATAACTGGCAGAATTTAATTGGCCGTGTTTGCTGGCCTTTAATTGGGCTCAGCATGTTAACATGTGTCCCAGCCAGGAATTTTGAAAGCATATAATGTATCTCGATGGCTTTTGTCCAGAAGCAGAGGGAAACAGTTAGTGGCCTGTAAGTGTGGGGAGTGTTTTATCTCTTCCTCTCCTCCTCCTCCTCCTCCTCCTCCTCCTCCTCCCATCGAGCTGTTTACTGGAAATGTGCTTTATAACAGTCTGGCCCTTTGGCAGTCGAGAGTCTCTGACAGGCTGAGCCAGTTCAGAGCTCACAAAGGGTTATGAACTCCCTCAACAAAAGACAACTGACAGATTGCCAGTAGACTGAAGGTAATTTCATCCATCAGGGAGCTGAATGATGTAATGGATCAGAGTGTTTAATTTACCCATCGTCCATCCACACATACACACATCATTTCCCAGGAGTTTTGTTGTGAAGACTGTGCGTATGGTCAGCATTCCTCCAGAAAGTTTTGGGATCATTATTTTACACTGAGCTCCGACAGCCCCTGTGGGGAAGAGAGTTTTTTTTTTTTTGCCCTGAAAAACCACAACAATTTGAGTTACACAAAATCAGTTTTTATTTCTTTCTACCAGCACATTTTAGCTCCAAAAATATAGCATTCTGTCGACAATACATGAAAATAAATGCTGTAGTGCATTTGTGTTCCTCACAAAGAAGAGGATTAGCAAACAAAAACAAAAATTCTAAGATAAAATAGCATTTCTGTCTGGGGAAAAAAAACAAAAAAAAAAACAAAGCAAGGTATACAACATTCTTTAAGTGACTAAAAAAATATATATACACACACACACACTGACATCATAACTTAACCAGCAGCATACTGTTATTAAATATCAATGATAAGTGGTGAAACAGTTTTGGAAGACACACTTCACCGCAGCAACAGTCTCCAGAGTGAGGCACTAAATCTAAAGCCTAAAATGAAAGGATGTTCAGATCAGACCCTCAAGCATTTTTTCTCTTCCTGTGTAATTATTAACTCAGACACACAACACGTCCCCCCACGACTGACTCATTTACTTAAAGAGAAAAGAAGCTATTCATTTATCCCCCTTTTCCTAAGAAACGAGTGACGTTTGATCGTTATGCAAGAGCAAACAGATGTTGTTGCAGCGTACGTGTTGATATTTCTCTCAGATACATTTACAGCAGTGCCATTCGTCACAATCGATTTTTTTTAACTTTGCTCTGGAATTTCAGACGAAGAATGCTTGGAAGTTCCCCGGTGGTTTGTCTGATCCAGGAGAAAATATTGGTGAGTGTCACGCTCAACAGAGCAAATAACTGTTACAGTACATCTAGCAAAACACTTGAAGAGCTTAGTATTATACTTAACGACGATATACATTCATTTGAACTGTACACAATAAGGCACATGATACGCTGTTAAGCCCCAAATTATTCACACCTTATGAATTATTTTTATATTTAATCAAAAGGTTTCTTCTGGCTGGAAAAAACGTAAACAAGCGACGAAAGACAGCGAGACACTGGTTCTCCTTTCATTTCTTTTTACATTCTTACTAAAAATGTCATGTCCAAAATTATTCATACCCCTAACCCACATCACAAATTTTTGAGAAAATCGAAATTCTATACCATCCCAAATGGTCCTAGTAATTTCAACCATGTTCTACTGTGTTCCAATACACTAACAATTGAGAGCAGCCAATGCAGTTTTCTACTCAGTTAGCAGTCAGCTGCAAGTCATGGCGTAACAGCTCGTCTTGTTGTTGCTCACAAGACAGCCAAAGGCTATAAAACCATATCCACATGTTTTTGACGTGTCATCGGCCACAGTGCAAAACATCATTGTTAGAATGAAAGTGAGAGAGGCCAAGATGAATCCAAGAATCACCACCAAAATCATCTTATTCAATCTGAGCACTTCTGCTACCAACATGCTAACGAGACACCCCAGCAGACACCAAACAAGGCTGGTCTCTGTGGACACAGACCAAGGAGGAGTCCACTGTGAATCATTTTGGACATGGAATTTTTCATAGAAATGGAGAAATAAATGCTTTACGAAAGAAAAAACTAAAGTAAATCTGTCTTTACCGTCTCTGACACGACGTCTTACTGTCTTGTTAATTCTTCTCGCCAGAAGAAACCTACTGATCGGATAAAAATTCCCTCTGAATCTATATTTGGTACGGTATGAATAATTTAGGACTTAAATGTTCATGCAAATTCTTTCTCTCCAAATTCACCTTTTTAATGATTTTCAAGCAGCTTTAAAATTATATACAAGACCCAACCCAAAAAAGCAGCGTCAAATATTTTTCTTTACAAAAAAATATACGTATTCTCCCTTTTCCTCACATCCTAAAAAGCAGTCTGCAAAGTAATGCTGACAAGGCAATACTAACATATTCCCTTTTTTTGTCAGGATCTCTTAAATGCCTCCACATATAAATGTGACATGAATCTTTCCCAGGTGCCACCGCTGTTCGGGAAGTGTTTGAGGAAACCGGCGTTCGCTCCGAGTTCAGATCTTTGCTCAGCATCCGGCAGCAGCACAACCACCCCGGCGCCTTCGGCATGTCGGACATGTACATCATCTGCCGACTGAGCCCGCTCACCTACGAGATCAACTTCTGCACTCAGGAGTGTCTGCGCTGCGAGTGGCTGCACCTCAGCGAGCTGGCCAAAACCAACGACACCACACCCATCACCACTCGCGTAGCCAGACTCCTGCTCCACGGCCTGGAGCACGGCTTCGACAGGGTGGACCTCACCATGGAGGAGCTTCCTGCCGTGTACTCAGGGATGTTTTACCAGCTGTACCACAGACAGCTTCCTACAGCGTTAAAATCATAGGAAGCCGTCACATCAGCATGTTATGACTTGCTGTGCTGAAACATGGCTGTCAGTATTACTCATATTTAAAGTGTATTTATGACTGGACTGTTACTGTGGAGGAATTATGGTGCAATAGGTTTTGAACTACAAGTATATTGACTTTGTGGTTGTTGTTTTTTTTTTACAACCACTTTGGTACTTGCAATTACTGCAGTTTTAAACGGTTTATTTAACACATTTTGGTGTCCACAGGGACTGTAAGCAGCTGATTTTGAAAAAGGTACTGTTCTAAAATCTTCTATATTAATGACTGGGAACAAATGACCTCATGATCACGGTTGAGTTCAGATCTTTTTATGTTGATAGCTAGCTAAACACCAGTTTTAGCTGAATAGCTCCTCAGAGAACTAATGCTACGGCTAGTATATAAATATAATATTATCAATTGTGCAGGCTGCCTTGCTAAGTTAGCCCACTAGCCAGTTAAAAAAAATACAGTTAAAATCATTGACTGTTGAACTGGGCCTAATTGAAGAGTGAAAACTGTTGCAACTCTAACTTAAGCAATTTCCCCTCTGGGGTCGATAAAGTATTACTGATTCTGATCTGATACTGAATAGTCAAAAAAAAAGTTGTTTTTAATCTGTATAAGCAGCTCTTGGCTTTTACATTTTGTGTGTTTGCTGTGCTTAGTTTGTGTTTTGCCAAATGCCGTTTTAAAATACCAGATCCAGAATCCTTAAATACTTCAATATTTTACACATTATTTAAAAAAGAAATAAGACACTGCAGTTAAATTAGGACTGCAGGTTATACTGTTATAGATGAAAGGTTAGAAAGCAGACTTTTGCTGTGAATACCAGAGAGGGAGGCTCTGTAGGTAGAAGAAGGAAATTGTGCTGTGCTGCCATTCAACTGAGGTGCACTTGAGCAGCTCACCTGACTCCAGGTGCTGCAGTGCTGACAGTAAAATTCTGGTTTTACAGCCAGGTATCAATGCGTGGCACTGTTTCAAAGTAAAGCTGAATAATAGCAGACGTGTTCAGGATGAAAAAAAAACAAAAGGAACTGTTAGGATATAACAGTCGAGCATCACAGCTATTTTGGGCAATGTTGATGGAACGCTGTCTTCATTGCCGTCACATCTTCTCCTTCGTCGTTTCCACTAAGACTTCAGTATCTCTCCGTCGGCTCCCACATTAGCACTTGGCAGACATGGGAAGAAACAGAATGGCCTTCTGACCCGGTCCAGTTTTGCTTCCAGACTTGTACTGGCCAGTCCGCTTCAGCGCCACGTACATATTTGGGTACTTCCTGGAGCGGTAGGTGTTGTAGTTGTTGCTCTCGAGCCGCTCCAAGAAGTAGCATTCATCCGTCGCTCGTCTCTGCAGACAAACACACAGAAGGGTAACTCGTATTTATTTTTGACGTTCAGTGAACTGGTTTATACTGTGACACTGGATGAGGAAAAGTGTGGGAGAGTGAAATGTGAAGCATCTGACGGCCCAATAATCAGATCAGCTCAAATCAAGGACATGTAACTGTGAAGCTCATCTGTGTTATTGTGTCATTCAGCCTGTGTGTTCTAATCCTCTCTGCTTTTCTACCTGATTTTAGTATAAAGTCAACATAAGGGACACGTGTACCTTGCAGTGGCATTTTGTTTGGATCAGTTTTGGTTGAATTTCTTCAACACAGACTCTTGGAAAACTTTTGTAAAGCTGTGATTTTAAGACATTAAATGACCACATAAAACACCCCATGGCAAAATGATATTTACCTTTGTTTATAGAAGACAGTTGTTTTTTTGAGGAACTCCTGCTCTGTGTTTCAGCCAACCAAACCTTGCCAGGTACATAATTACGATGTATTATTGCCTCAGCTCAGCGTCACTGATTTCTGATTGAAGTTTAATAAACAAATCAGAATGCCCATTAAAGACAAACTTACCAGGAATCTCACAATACGATTTTGAACGGGGCAGACTAAACGATATGTGTCGTCATGATGTCGAGCATCTATTTTTAGTGCTCAGACAAACCCCTCTCTTTAACTCTGTCCTGTACAGAAAACATTAATTACTGAACGTCTGGCCAAAATCTTCACTCTCGGTGGGCGTTAACTGCCCTACACCCTGCCCAACAAGAGGCTTTTGTTTTAGTTTCTGCTTTTGGTTGACTGTGGCTGCGCAGCAATGAAGCTATTAGTCACAAGACGTTTTCTTTCAGCTGCAACAACCACCCAGCCTACTCTGTTTAATTTGTTTTGCAAAAGCTTTGAACAAACAATATTCCTGCTTCGGTACTGAGAAGCTACAACTGGAGCTGTTTGTGTGTGGTGTGTGTTGCTGGAAGACTCACCAGTAGGATGTACAAAATGATGTCAAGCATGATTGACTGAACTCAGTACTTCAGTTATTAAGATGTCAGGGAAGTTCCATTTTTATTTCACTAAAAATATGACCTATATGTTTTAGATAGGTATGAATAATGTGTCCAAAATTGTACAATTCTTACCCCAAAAAATCTAAAATCTAAATCAAGTTTATGTGCATGTCGACCTGTCCAGGATGTCCCCTGCCTTCGCCCTGAGTCAGCTGGGATAGACTCCAGTCCCCCCGAGACCCTAGTGAGGATTAAGCGGTGTATAGATAATGGATGGATGTGCATGTGGTCAACATTTGTCAGTCTTGCAAACCAAAATATATCCATCAGGATCTAGTACCTCTGTTATCGAATTGTATCCCCATGCAAGACCAGACTTGACACCTTCCCAGCTAAAGCGCTAAATTAGAGTAAATAACATCAAACAAACGACAAATTATAATCCTAATATCCGTCAGTGTGCTAACTTTTCTTTTGGTAACAAATGGTCGTCTGGAGAGAATTGATGTTGTGGGTTTTTTTTTTTTTTAAGATTCTCTACACACGAGTGGAAGCAGAGCAGAGCGACGCCTTGGGTGGCACCTCGCTGCTGTAGCTTCTCATTAGGAGGAAATGCTTCGTGCCAATTACACGGACTTTAGACGAGCCTTTCGCAACCACCAAACCACATCAGTCGGCGGCACTTCACACTTCCACTGTGAGCAACAACACTGCGGCAGCAGGCCGGCCCTGGTGCCAAGCTGGAGTGGACTAATTCACATAAACGTTCAGGAAATCCTCTCAGATCAGTTTCATATGTGATAGTGCACAGTGTTGAATACAAAAGGCTGAATATCCTGACCTATATAAGTTAATGGAGATCTCTTTTTTTATATTTGCACATGGGAAACTTTGGATCTTTTATCTACTAAAAACAGCAACTAGTACACAGTTATTTTGTCTATAGATAAGTTAGATAATCTGTTAGCGTTTAGATATAAAAACATTGCAGATGTTCTTATTTTGAATTAAAAAATAATATTACTACTAAGATCTCTTCAGTCTTCCATATGTGGATCTACACACTTGATAAGTAGCAGCCATAATGGCTCTAATGAAGCTTTTGCAAGAGGTTGAAAATGATTTTCTCTTATCTTATTTATTTTCCTCATAGTTTTTTTTCAACTCTCTATTATCTCTAATATCCCGCAGTTTAACAAACTGTCACTTACAAATTCAAAATGACCATAATTAGACAACAAACTGTCTGTTGTCTGTCAGACCTCCCTCAGGCAGACTGTCGGGTCGTCCCTGGAGATCCTAAACATTACACAAGCAAAGTCTGCAAATATATTGAGGAATATCTGGTCCACTGCCAGCCTCCTGTCTCCTGCAGAGTTCCTGTTCTGTCTCAGTAAGCATCCTCATGGGTCTAAATTTTAAGACACTTATTTAACCTGTTTGCGCTGTCGTTTATATTTGAGAAATGAGTTGCATCGTCCCCCATTCAGTTTTTGTTTCTATGTACAAAATCAAACCCCAAGTTGTCAAGCCAACAGCTTTGGGGTTAATAATCCAAATCACATGACGAGAGTCTTGACTTTGTTGCTGAGGCAGCAGAAGACGATACTCGAGAAACAAAAGGAAGACACGTGGCTGAAGAGACGCCTCACAAGGAGATGTGTGGAAACATAATAGTTTTTTGCTGTTGCCCATCCATGTGCTTTAAGTTTACACTGCTTGTTAATTACAACACATGTGGCCAAGATGTTGACAGTATTCATTTTGACACGGATCTGTCTAAGTGGAGTCTCTTGTTTGAGTGAGAATGTTCTGACAAGTCCAGTCAGGGAGGTGTCGACCTAATTAGTTTTAGTCAGAGAGGATTTCTTGTCAGGGTGCTGGTAAATATTTGGTTTCCAAAACACTGCAGCCTAAATGCTGCTTGTGGCAGAACTGTGAGGTAAATCCAGTCTTTTTTTAGTGCAGAACAATGAGAACTTTCTCAGCCCACTAATATAGTGTGTATATATTTTAGATGTTACATATTTTAATATGCTACTTCACAGACGTTTACAGAACAGCAGCAAAACAACTTTCCTGAATGGAAAGACAACGATCCAAGTCACTTACCGCTCCAAACAGTCGTCCGTCTCTGTTCATTGCCAGATATCGGTTAGCGCAAACTCCTTTGATGACCACCTCCCCCACTGAGGTCGCCTGGAGTTGAAGTTTTACTGAGGATGAAGACAAAAGTTCATTTGAAACGAGTAAAGACAAAGCATTTGTAATTTGAGAGATGTTTAATCAAACAGAAAGAGTAGACAAACACTATCCCTGGACACAGCAGAGCCAGCAGCTAGATGGACAAATCTCAAGAAAGTGCTCCGTGCATTTCAACATTTAAACTATCACGGTGACGAGCGAGACAGAACTGAAAGGAAAATCAATTTGTTTCATTGTACAAATCAGAGTTTAAATAATTCATTTACTGGTGGTTAACGCTGCGTTCACCAATTTCCGGCCACTAGGGGGCGACACCTCACAAACAAGCAGAGAGATACAGCGTCCACACCACGGTCACAGGCTTATACTGTCTTAACATATCCACTAACACATCCTGTAAAAATGTGTATTCATACATCCAGGTTTGTCTGAAATAAATCTTCAGCTAGCAGAAGTGTCAGTGTCCTAACTTCAATGCTGCCAACTTCATTTGTAGGCGGGTTGGTAGATTTTTCAGAGCATGTTTGCCAAATAGAGCAGCGTGCCATTGATGAAAACAACACTGTAGTGCCGAGAACTAAACCAAGCTGTATGGTGACACATCCAGTTTTTGTTTCTATGTCAGTCTGGACACGGGGCTGCAACAACTGCTTTTACTGTCGATTCATCTGTTGGTTATTTTATCGATAAATCGAACAGTTGTTTGGTCTATAAACATCAAGAAAATGGTGGAATGTGTCCATCAGTGTTTCCCAAAGCTCAAGATAATGTCCTCAAGAATGGTTTTGTCCACAACCCAAAGAGAAATGTAGGAACTTCTTTTAAAAAAAAATGTAAAACTTCTTTTAAAAAAAAATGTAATCAGTAAATCAATCGATTAAGAAAATAGTTTCCAATTCATTTAATAGATGACAACTGATGGATTCATGTTTGTAGCTCAGATACAAAATCAAACCCCAAATCATGCAACATTGCACACTTTGGATTTCTCTACGAACAGCAGTGAGCAACAAAAGAGACTAAAAGGTCCAGGAAGTGAGCTGCACAGTTAGTCAAATGATAGTGTGGCCCACTTTCACATTTTATCTCATGCTGTAGAGAAAAATCCAGGCAAAGATTAAAACCGGTGAAAACACATCAGTAAATGCTGCTGCAATTAGCATGTTTTGTGTTTGTGTGTAACCAAACAAATATCAGCTCATGTTCGTTCGACTGCCGGCAACAACAAATTTGTTGATGCGGTTTCGTCCATATTTTCTCCAACATTAGCTGCATTTTATTGCCAGTAACTGAATGAAACACCAGCGTTAACAATAACTTAAATCACATCGGCCAGCAAACAGTAGCAATGCATTACACAGAGTACCTGCTGGCTGTGTGATGGCCTCCTCAAAGATGCATCAAAATCCTCTCCACATTAGAGACGCTGCTGCTCGCCAGCAGAGCATACTTTGCATGAAGCCAAACCACGATAAAGGAAGCAGAGGCCCCGTAAGGTAATTTAGGGGATCTGTCCAGAATTACTCCACATTAAGACCTTGGAAAGACGTTGCATCTGTCTGTAGTTAAGCTGGCTGCCTGGGAGATTCAAGTCACAGATCAAAGAGGTGTTCTTCCCTGAAAAAATAAACTTATAGTTGGTCTGAGTGTGCTGTGGTGTGTTGGATGATCACTTGGTATATTATGCCCCACAGCTTTGGTGAATACAGCAAAGCTAATCTCTGGTTAGGGTTTGTTCCAGAGGCTCTTATCGGTATCTGTCCCAGAGTGAATGGAGTCAGGGCAAGTATTTGTGGCACTGCTCATGGGCACCAGTGGGAAGTTTTGGGATTGGAACTGCATTACAGAGAACACAAATGTGATGGAGGTCCATCGATATTGGCACAAAAACCCCACCTGAGAAAGCCTGGACATACTGGGTAACATTTTTCACTAACATTTCCAGTTCTAACTGGCAGGTATGTGTGTAAAAGCTGGCACGTCTGTGGTAGCCTTAACAAAAGGACCATTGATGAAGCAGAGCTCAGGTTATAATAGCTGTAAGAAAGTATTTTGGTTAAAATCTGAATGATTAATACTGTTTTATGACTCACTATGGATAGGTTTCTTTGGAACCAAAAGTAAGGCCTCTTTGATATCCACAACAAACTAAATGTGTAATTTATTCACATCATCTGTACAAGACTAATCTTTCAGGATATTTCACAGCTTAATTATTCTAAAAATAGCTCCTTGAACTGCCTCCATCGGGCATTTGTTTGGACACACATACCTTGAAATGTTACACCGTACTGTATCTTGGGCAATACACTTCCAAACATGTGTTTTCCAAGGAAAAAAATCCCAATTTCATGCCCCCTTCCTCTCCCCTCCTACTTACTGATGAAACATAGGACACACACTTTAAAGTAATCAGTGACACCGAGGCACTGAGGGGTATCACAGTTGTCCATTCCAAAGCAGCATGTTAATGTTTCCACTAAGTTCAATGTGGACAGAGACAGGTCTACAGCTACTTTCTCAGTGAATATCGTGGTGGTTCGAGTGTTTTATCATTTGTAATGTGAACCTTCTATGAGCCCCAAAAGACCGACGATGACCTTTAAATCAGGAACTCCCTAATTCTGGCTTTTAACTCGTTGTTATGCAGCCCTGTGTGACGTAAACCACACAGTGAGCAGTGTGAGTGGCTGTGACTCAGCATGGTGATCTACATTTACTAAAAACATTATGCATATTCCATCAAAGTTCCCATTGATTGAAGAAAATCTGAGGTAGAACCAGAGCTGTTATACTTTCCAGACGTAAACCTACACACATTTTGGTCTTCGTGTTAATAAGTGGAGCATAAACCTCAGTAAGCTGGAAAATTCACATCGTTCCTCCATGATGTGTTTTTTTTACTTCACTCTTGCTTCCCTGTTGCATATTAAAAAAAACATAAAGAAGCTTTGTGTGCTCTGCAAAGCAAGAAGACTGAAAGTACTTACTGTGGGGGTCGTTTTTCTCCCGGATTCCGTCCACTCCCCCATCAGACTTTATCCTCAAGAAGAAGCCACCGTTTTTACAGTACAACCTTTTGGGGTCCTTGAAGCTCCCAGGAGGAAATCCGCCGCTGCCGCCGTCTTCAGGTGTAGAGGGAAGTGTTGTGATTTCTCCAGTGGCCATCTCCTCCTCTTTCCCAGCTTCCTGGCAACTGCTTCGTCTCCTTCTTGAGAAGAGCAGGAGCCCCACCGTGGCCTCCCACCTCCCACTAACTGCTGCCTGTTCCCTCCTCCCCTCCTCCACAGACCTTCACACAAACTGATTTTACTTAACCCCAGAGGTTGGTTTGCTTCAACAGCCCCCTCTCAGGGCACCAAGTGCCCTTTGAGTCCTGAGAACCTGAGGCAGAGAGACTCCTACGGGCTCCTGACTAAGAGCAAACGCCAAAACCTACCATTCGTAGCTGCCCGTTTGCTGTTTGTAGAGTCGGCAGCTGCCTCGCCAGTGTACTTTGAGCACACTGGTAGGGGGGGATGCATGCAGGTTCCCGCTCTCCTCTGCTCTTCTTGCAGTGAAGTGTTTAAAGCAGGGCAGCTGGCTTAGATCTTGATGTGGAAGGCTTTCCCCTTTGGGCCTCAGTTCGCATGCGCCCTAGGAGCACTAGCACACACACACACACACACATGCTCACGCCCACTAATGCTCACTGATTTAACCAGCCAACCCAGCAGAAGTCAGGAGCGGAGAGGAGGGCACGGAAGGGGGACGTGCAACTTTGGACTGCGTCTCTGAGACCTTTCGGAGGGCCAAGAGCAGCAGCAGCCATGTGAACAGAGACTGTTTTCATTCAGCCAGTCTGTTCAAGAGCAAAGAAAGGGGAACATAGAGAGAGAGCAGCTTGCTAGTGAATCACTCGGTGCTATTCATAGGTGAAACACGACAATGTGAAGCAGAAACGCCAGCAGATGAAAAAGCAAGCATCCTGAGTGAACCATGTTAATTGCCATTCTCAGCTGAAAGGAGGCTCAGTGATGGGAGTTATTCATGCATTCGCTTCTTTTTTGATTTTTGGACCAACAAGGCCATGCATTTGTCAAAATAGGCACACGCTGGTCTGGGCTTCTGGGCAAGTGTTACCACATCTGAAACTTGCAGCTGGATCAGGCCAGCTGTGCTCTTGGTTGATGTCAAGCTGATGACCCCCACAAAGAGCTGACATCCATCCAGGCCACTAGAATGACGCTTTGAGGAGTTCAACCAAAGAGAGAAAACTACAAAAAGTGAATTCACAAAAAGAAAGTGTCACCCAGAGCTATTCACTGTTATAGGTATGTCTCATATGGCTCACAACAGAGGAAGAAACTGGGTGTCAGTCTCTCTGGGTTAGACAGAGCTTTGTAAGCCAACAAGGTCACTGCACCACAGTATTTGTGTTGGCCTGTCTTCCTTACCAGGACCTCCGACTGATATGAGAGAGAGCACATTGTTAATGTATGAAATATGCAAAAGATGAAGTTTTCATTCAGTCATTCAAGCTTTATTTAAAGTCAGAGTACACTGAGGTATAAAAAAAACTCATTTACAATCTAACCTGAGTAAGAAAATAAAAGAATGTAGGCACACATGTAATAAAAATGAACAAATAATGAAAAAAAATGTGTATATTCAAATTTAGCAACATAATAAAATCATTAATTAGAGCATTTTGGTTTACAAACAAATGGACCAGCTAGAACAACAACAGCTGGATGTAAAATAGGATGAAATAAAAGATATGAATTGCCCAAAGGATTGAAATGAGTTAAGTCTTGTACCGTAAAACTAGCAAAATATCATTCATCTTAGTGAAGTGGAATTTTTTCTGATTGTATGGAAATCTCCAAAAGATGGAACAATTTTAGCATTAAAAAAACAAAAACAAACAAGCTGTACAGTGCTGAACAAACGGGCTCATTATTGGAGAGTGTTGTAATAATTTAGTAATGCACCAAAACTAACTCTTGCTCCCAAATTGTAGAATGAAAATGTTTCTCATTGTCAAGAAGTCGGTTTCTAAAGAGACAAAAGAAAAAAGAAAAAAAAAAGCCAGTGTACTAAAAAAGAGCACGACTTATCAATCATGGTGTTTTTAATTAGAGTTAGACTGAAATTGACCCGTCACATTCCACACAAGCATGAATGAATTTCAGAATTAGTATTACGAGAATAAGCGATATCAGTGTTAGACCCGATTCTTTAGTTGGAAGCCCAAGAACAAGCCGGAGAAATCTTCAGTTCTCAGTTGAGTTTAATTTATTTCGGTCACAGGTAAAGTTTTGTAGCGCTGGAATTCAGAGGGACAGAGAGGAATCTCATGTCCAGCTGAACTGAGTGTTTTCGGTTCCAGGTTCCAGATATCTTCTTGGGCTGGGCCTGCCCCGAACAAAGATAAGACTTGTACGCTCCCGAGTTTAATCGGCCAGTTACCAATGGCGTGGACAGGCATGCCTCTTCTGCGCTCTGTCCACGTCCTTGATGTTTGGTAAGCAACATGTGTGGATGTTGTAGCTAAAGTAACAATCGTATCTGATAGAATAGAGGAGTTTCTGCTGTCTCCAAGTGTGTGAACCGGTTCTCACCGGCCACATTATCTTCAGGGACGTATGCTGTTCTCAGTAGGAAAACACGAAACAGAGTCATAGGCTCAGTGCAAAATACAGATTCAGAATACATAATAGCTCGAAACATACTGAATTATAACATCAGTTTCACTCATTCCTAATGCACCTTTAAAAACATTACTACCTGGAGAAAGTACATTTATAGGTGGAATTATGAAGACTTCAAACACGACATCATTTATTTTGTATTATTTGCTCATATATTGTTATATATGATATGGATTTATTAGTTGCATGGCTGTATACAGTAGGTCACTACACCGTAAAAATGCAGAATGAAGTGTGTAGCATAGCGTTTGTTCAGTGGTTGAGCCAAGCCCATGTGAGCTGGTATGCTCAAGTTGCAGCACGTGTGGACAGGTGGATTGAGAGAGAGAGCTGAGGACTTAATACATCTGCACTATCCAGAGGAACTAACAGTGTAGAGTTACGCTGAAGTAATTTAAAGGCAGGAAGAGATTTTTTTTTAATGGGGAGAAAATTGACCTTTAATACCCAGTGATGAGTTTCTACCAGCGGCCGGAGATGTTTAACATTTCATTCATTTGTCCGAGGACCCCGTGCAGAAGAAGCACGAAGCAGAGAGTCAAATGTGGACTCAGCCTGAACTCTCAGATGTGTCACCGACTTTGCCTTTCCAATTCCCCTCTCGGCGTTGTGTTTGTCGCGTTATGTCACACCCTGTCCTCTCGCTGCCACGCCGCCTCCGACGAATGCCTGAGTCAAGATTGTTATGGCTCAACTGCAAAACCTGTGTGGCGCTTTTTATTTCACTCAACTATTTTTAGAATGCGACAAGAAGCGCCGTCTTTGATCTCACAGGAAATGGAAGGTCTCACGTGTCCCTGCAACCAACACCTCTGAAACACAATATGCACAGGAAGGAAAATTCTGAAGACGAATCTTTACTTTCATGTGAACCATCACTGTTTTAGGGTGGATTTTTCCAAGTAGTCATTTTTCTCATTCAACAGTTTCTTAGGCTGAATAAAAGTATTAAAATAACAGTCGGCCCAAAATACTGGACAAACCGACTTTATAAATCTAGTGCGAAGGAGTACGTGACTACATGTAAAATTAATCTGACCTTTCAGTGATCACACAGGAGGGGAAATACTAACAAAAGGTTTCTAGAAGTCAAATGACTGTAACAACTTCCTGAGGTTAGACAATTATTTAAAAGGACAGGAGCTAATGAGACTCAACCAAAAACATTTACTCTGCCTGGAGGCATTCCTTCTCCATGAAGCATTCCCATTATGACAGAGAAAGTCATAAAACCACCACAGTTGGCATGGAAGCAGTCTGAGTGTCCACTGTGAACACTGCTGTCCAAACTGAGACACATAATGACCCAAAAGCAAATATCATTAAGGAAGTGTACCGAGACTATGAGACAGACTTGACACAACAGAATTCCTCTTATGCTCAAGGAGAGTGAAATCTAATTGCGGTTTTGGACATCCAGTAGTTGTTTTCTCTGGCTAAGCTGTGTACAAAGACAAGGTGAGTATAAGGTTAATGTCATGCGAGTCGGGCTTGGTTTACAGTGAAAACAAACTGACATTTTAAGGAATTTCTCATGAGAATAGTGCACCTTCAAGACAAAAACCACAAGCTTCTTAAACAAATATATGTTGAAAAAATAAATCTGAAAACATTCAACAACACTCGTCTCATTTGTTATATCTTAACAATGCATATGTCTCCCCCATGTGGTAGAAAACAGGTAGCATCGTGTTCAAATCATGTTTCTGGCATTCAAGACAATAAAGCTCAACTAATTAAAAAAAATCTTTATTGTACTTTGTACCAGTTATAAAAACATGTTTCAATAAAGATTCACAGTCTAAATAAACATTTCCTTCATTTAGTAAAAAAAAAAACATTTAGCAAGTTGTGTTCAGTCAAACAATTCTCCAAAATGCTGCTTACACATCACAACAGCAGCACATTTTCCTGTGCAGCGTCACTTTTGTGGCCCACGCCTGTGATGACCTCTGCATCAGTCTGTAAGACCAGCAAAACAACATCTAAGGCCTTTCTCCATGCTTCTTGCTTTACGCTTAGATTATCGTAAATTTCCGCTGCTCGTGCTTCACCAGGTTTCATTTCTGAGAAAACTGCACTGTCCTCTTTCTCATCCTCCAAGAAAAGCTGTGACAACTCTGCAGCAACACCTAAATGTCCGTTATAGCTCTGCAGTTGTTGGCTCACCACAGTCCTGGCTGTGACTTTTGAAAACTTCCCCGTGTTAACCATTACAGTGGATATGTAATCTATTAAACCTTCTGCCATTAGCTGCAACACTACACCCCTGTAGTGATTAGCTGCCGTCGCTGTTGTGGTTTGCTGGACGCAGTCACGATTCCTCTCTCGGTGATACTCCACTTGCTTTTGCAGGTGATGAATACAAAGCATTTCTGTCCGTCCAGCACCAAGTAGAAGGGCTCTGTCTTCTAGCGCGTGGTGTAAACGATACGCACAGGCCCAAAACTGATCCTCCAGTGCCTGCAGCTTGCCATGTATACAGCTTGTAAGGACCACTGTCACCAGTCCGCCGCTCATACCAGCGGAAATATTCACAGCTGTTGCAGATTTGCTGCCACGGCTGCCGAGGTCCCTCCATATCTTAACCTCCGCCCCGCTGCCAACATAGCGCTTAGTCAACTGCGTGGCATAAGTCACCGGTGTGGCTCCAGTTGAATTAGCAAATGTCTTCAAAACCGAAGCTTTCACTTTCTCCACCACAAGTATATGATGTGTGCAACAGTGCTGGATCACTTTCTCACTAGCTAGCCCACTGATTAGTATCAGCTTCACTTCCAGGTTTAACAGAAGCCTAACAACCTTTTCCACCCACTCATCCTCTCTGCTCAAACTCGACAAATCCAACCGGTCACTCACACGCTGTACGTCTTTTAGCCTTTTAAAGCCAAGATGTCGATAGGTGTCTGAGAAATCTCCGTTAATAAGAGCCACCTTCAGGTGTTGTTCTTGTAAGTGAAGGGCAACCGCAGCCTGCTCAGCAGACAAAAGAACAACGCAGCCTGGAACAACGCAGGCATGCTGCTCTGGTAAACCGGGTAACACACAAGTCACCACTTTAGTTATGTCAAACATGGAATGACTGACGTCTTGCTGATTCATTTTTGAGAGCATCTGAACGGCTTCAACTACTAACTTCATTGCGTCGTCACAACCATGGCTCAACGCCTCAGCAATGTGCACGATGTCAGGTAGCTGAGGCTGACGAGGTGGAGGGTCAGACCTGGTCTCACAAAAATGTCTGCTGAGCTTTATTTTCCTTTGCTCACTGATGTTCAGAGTCTTGTGATCAACTTTTGTTGACCTCTCCAAGCGGCACGATGCCTGTGAAGCGTTAGTGATTCGTTCCTCTGACAGCTGGACTTCTAACCGATGGGATGTCGCAGTGTCTCTCTTTAATGGCGTCACACCAAGGCCCTCAGTTGAAATGGCGGACTTCCTGCAAACATCCATGCATATATCCATGCCTTCAGACATAGCCGAGATTATGTGCGCAACTGAGATCCCTCTGTGAAGACAGTCCAGGGCAGCACGGCTCCACGCTCCAGCGAGAAACAGCAAGCATCCCGACCCTGTGTGGTAGACCTTCTGGTGGGCTCGAATCGTCTCGTGAATCAGCTGACCCACAGCGCAGGTCAGCTCCAGGCTCTCGATGATCCGAAAACACGAACACGCAAGAGCTGACTCCCCATGCCCGTCATCTTGGATGAACTTGTATTTTTTATTAGGACCCAAACAGGAATGCAGGATTCCTGCCAGCGCTGAGAGTTTCTGCAGTCCAACATGTTGTCGATGGTTTATGATTGTACTTCCCAGCATCACTTGAGGTGCCTACATTGTAAAAGGAAAGTGTTACGTTTGGTCACTTTTTACCAAGTAAAATCTCTGCAAATATTTTTTTTTAATTTAGCAAAATTGATTAACATACTTGTGTTAAATATTAATCACAGGAACAAGGTCAGTAACAAAGTTTAGCTCCTTAAAGTCCCTTCTCAACTTCAAATTGAAGCTGGTTGTTCTGTTATACTTAATATTTTACTGGATTATATTTCAGATGAAAATATTACACACAGAGTCTGATAGCACCAACAAAACATGTGATCAAGAGGTGCGCTGGATATATATTAAGAGCTGCAACAGTAATTAAAGTAAATAAAATCAGGCCCACTCTGTCCTGCTGTAACATTTTAAAGCTGCTTACACACTAAGGCACTAAGAGTACAAAAACTTAGTATAGACATTCACTCCTTTCGAATAATCTTTTGGCGTCTGAATTTCTCAGTTTCATGTCTGAGTGAGTAGCAACGGCAACATTTCCATATCACTTTCAGCACGGCACATGTCTAAAGTGCGTAGCATCTCAGTATGAGGCAGGCACGCTCACGCAACACACTTAGCGTTGTGTGACGTGTTCTGGAAAGGCCTTTTCCACCTTTCAGCAACAATAGTGACTAGAAAACATCAAGGACAGCACAACAGCTACAGTTTGCATGCCAAAGTCATAAAACACCTTTCTCATTAGGTTTGCTGGACATTTTCACATCTATTAGGCTACAAACTAAAATGTACGAAGAAAAAAGAAAAAAAAACTTCACTGCAATGAAAACAGTTAGCTATGACTATAAATGATTCCTGCACTGAGGCTGGATCAGTCCAGGTCAGGATATGCATTTTACTTCACATCAGACAGGTGAGTCGTCACAAACAAGAGTTATCAGCTGCAGGTAAATTATTTGTTCCCTAGCAGCTGTTCTCAGGTTGAATCCTGACCTCTGACTTTTATTGTAAGTAAAGTAGTAGTTAGATTATCAGCAGACATGGAAAGAGTTTCCAGTGTTTAGGAAATCATAACCAAACTAGACTTTTAGTTATTTGGACAGTTTGTCAAGCTGCCATTAGTTTAGATTCACTCTTTTGCTTATTAGTGCAATACTATGTGTCTCACATAACTTCCTGTACTGATCAGTCTCACATGTGTGACAAATATGACACACATACTGCTGCTCTGTGATGTGCCTGGGTCATTCTACCACAATTCACCGAATGCCCCACACCCGACCATCATCAATTTGACAGATTTTTATTTTTAAGTGGTGAATATTGATTGAGTTGACCTTGTGTAAAATGTGGGGTCATAGGTAACATTATTTCTTTAGTTAAAATTTCTTGAACAGGATGGTGTCACTCCAATAGTGGTCCCAACTGGCAGAGTAATATAATATTGTTACTGGGCTAAAAGAAAAATCATTGTTTTCCAACTCACAGTGATTCAAATAATTTATGAAAAGTGGCACCATAAGCAATCGCGTCCATCTATCCATTATCTATACACCGCTTTATCCTCACTAGGGTTGCAGGGGAGCTGGAGTCTATCCCAGCTGACTTAGGGTGAAGGCAGGGGACACTCTGGACAGGTCACCAGTCTATCACAGGGCTACACTTAGAGACAGACAACCAAGCACACTCACATTCACACCGACGGACAATTTAGAATCACCAATTAACCTCAACATGTTTTTGGACCTTGTGGGAGGAAGCCGGAGAACCCAGAAAGAAAACTCCAGAACGATTCCTTTGCCCTCACCGGGACGCAACCCGGCAACCTTCTTGCTGCACGGCAACAGCACTACCAACTGCGCCACCTTGCAGCCTGCGTCCATCTATATTCAGCTATTTCTATTTTATACAGGTAATATCAAGTGAAACATTCCCTGATACAACATGCAGTGTGAATGCAATAGTGATTCACAATTTACATTATGCTGTACACATGCATAATAAACAATGCTCAACGTGTGTCTTTGACGTAAACAGTTGGTGCTCTCAGGTTCAGTTTTTGGTGTAATCCAGGTTGTGGTAAAATTCTCTACAACTTAGTTTATCACCAACAGAACATGTTCTTACAACTTCCTCTGCTGAAGCCATTTTGTCAAATAACATGTTTACAAATGATACACCCAAACTGTATGACATGAGTGTCTTTTGGAATATCCAGGAAAACCCACCCATATGGTTAACAACATGGGCCTCAATACTGTATAAAGATGGAGTGAACTGGGGAAACTATTTCCCACAAATAACTGGGCATGAGCTATTTTAAAGCAAGGATTTAATACTGATGTCAGTACACTGTGTATTATTGCTACCAACTTCCCCAATACAATGTTTATATGTGATTAACTTTTTGCTCACAAGGTTATAATAAATCAAAACAGGTCCTGATAAAGAAATAAAAAAAACAGATAAAAATATATTCATGTCTGACATATAGATAATGAAAATTGACAACATTTCTTATGGTATAATATGGTATGATATTGAATGTTTTACTTGATTTAAATCAATCACATAAATCTAATTAATCAACTGCTTACGGTTCACCTATCATACCTGCCCAATGCATGTTCAAATGTATGCATAGAAGAAGAAAAGTCAAACAAATATGAGATGGTCAGGTGTAAACGTCTTTTTTTCTTCTTCTTCTTCTTTTAGTGAATTGAGATGGAATAACCCATATATATATCTGAAGGAAGCAATGAGAAACTTTAACGTCAGGGGGACCTATGAATGATGTTAACGGATTAATGGAGCCAGCAATGTTGCATATTCCATGTCTAGAAGAGATTTATGGCTCTGAGAGTCTATTCTACATAATGAGCCCTTACAATTTTGAATCCAGGACTAACCACTGGTAACAAGTTTGGTGCAGTTGCAACTGCGCCTATATCTACAGTATGCAATACATCAACCCCCAAATGGACAGACGGAGTCCTACAGCTGTACATTCTACTAGCTTGCAAGCTAAGCTAACAAGCTAAAGGTAAATTAACTCTTAATTCAGTCTCTCTGTAACGAGACCAAAGTAAAGCAGTGTGTAGAAATGCTTCTAAAAGACGGGGAAGCTATACTATATCCTCCAACTATGCACAAACACATAATGTTACCTTAATATAATATACGACGAGTCTATGATGCGACACAACTTTTCAGCTGTCCTGGCTCAAATGATTACGTACTGCGCATGCGTTGTGTTTCCTGGTTGCTTGGCGACAAAAAAAAACTGTTCGAACGATTGGCTGACACGCTTATGACCCGCCTATTGCTTTTTGTGATTGGCTAACATGCCTGCGTCACCGAGTTTGAGTTATTTCTATTGGCTATTTGTAACAGAAAGAATACAGCCGTTGGTGCCTGCTTTGTTGACATCCGATCGTCCAACACGAGTGTGAAGTTTTTTTTGACTGAATCATTCATTTAGATGGTATGTCTTTACATTAGTGTCTCGTGTGAAATTCATGCTTTATCAGCTTTATTGAGGTTGTGGGATGAGCCGTTAAAAACCGTCAATTTTAGCTCTTAAACCTGTTTCTGTTTGGTCTCGTGTTGCAGCAAGCTAACTAGCATGGTACTAAGTGTTGTGTAAAAAATGTAAAGGGCCTCTCTGCTAACCTACTAACTGGGTTACCTTCTATAAAGTAGCATCCCTGTCCTAATATTTGCATTTTTCAGGCTACAAGTTACCGGAAACCAGCTCCCTCGGCTAGCCAAAGGAAAAAGCCAGTTCACAAACCCGAACTGACTGAAGAGCAAAAGCAAGAAATAAAGGAGGCTTTTGACCTTTTTGACACAGACGGAACTGGAACCATAGACGTGAAAGAGCTGAAGGTTGGTTAAACATGCATTGGATCAAATGTTATTCAATGCGTGCAAATGAACAAATATCGCGATAACTCAGCTTTCTGGCCTGTTCTTTGCTACAGGTTGTCATGAGAGCTCTTGGGTTTGAGCCAAAGAAAGAAGAAATCAAGAAGATGATTGCAGACATTGATAAAGAGGGCTCTGGAACAATTGACTTTGGAGACTTTGTCAGTATAATGGCAGTGAAAATGGTGAGTGGTATATGGTGAGAAACAAGCAGGTAGCTTCCCAGAAGTTGAAAATTGTGAAGAACACAAAAAAAAAGACACAGTGTTAGTCACAGAAACTATTTGGCTCTCAGAATGTAGGGCTGTAGCATTTTTGTTGATGTGCAGCCCTACATAATGCGGTAGATTTTAGTTTAAAGTTAATAAAGTAAAAAAAAACTTATAAGGTATTTATTTTAGCCTTGAAATACTTATACAAACAGTCTGACATGAAAGTTAGGATTATTCCCAGCTAAATATCTCCGTAGAAAACCATGTAACAGAAAAAGTTCAAATGTTTTCAAAAGACTGAATGCAAAAGTCAACTGTTTTTACATTACTCAGCACATCTGTCACAGAAGATTGAGGAAATAAAATAAATACTCCCCACACTTACAAAACTAATTTGACCCACCATGGTGATCAGACATTTTTACGTCTGTGTATTGTACTTAACATTTAAATTCCTCTGTGCCATTTCATTCTCAATCTGCCCTCAGTTGACAATTAAGGCGATTTGTTTTTTTTTGTTTTTTGTTTTTTTTAGCAAAGAAGAGCAGTTTCAGTGTGTTCTGAATCTGTCTCTGTAATACACTGATCAGTACGTGTGTCATGTCTTGGTTCATGTTACCAGGGTGAAAAGGACTCCAAAGAAGAGATCATGAAGGCTTTTCGGCTGTTTGATGATGACTGCACGGGGAGAATCTCATTCAAAAACCTCAAGAGAGTTGCTAAAGAGCTGGGTGAAAACCTCACGGATGATGAGCTGCAGGTATTGTGATTCTTAACTACCCCATGGCTCTGTGTAGAAATAAGTTAAGGATCCACCCATATATCTTTGCATTTAGCTCAGAAAGAGTTTTGAACTCGTTTCTTTTTTTTAATCCTTGGTGCATTCAAGTCTTGGTGCTCTTATCTCTTCATAGCTTTGTATCCCTGCTGTAGACCACCACAAATACATTCTCGACCGATGGGGAACATCTAATCTTTTTTATTTAAATTTATGGCAGTGGTAACAAGGTTTACACTCCCTTGAATTGGTCAAGTTTTAAGGTTGATGATTGATACTGTGGGAAACGTCTTTGGTGTTGCGTTAACAGGAATGTTTTAGGTATTTGAAACTCAGGTCTACATACTGCGCACAGCTGGCTGTATCTCCTGTTTTTAGGATATGAAAGCAAGGTTTCTGGTCATTGGCTGTGGTGGATAGTTTCCAGAATTAAGTAAGCAGGAAAAGCCAAAATCTGTTAAGCACATGGCAAAAATTCCACCGTTCTATCAGTGATGTAGTACCACCTCACAGCAGTAGCCTTCAAGCGACACAAGAAACCATAGGCAGATATTTTCACTCACAATTTGACAAATTCAGTCATTCTTAAAATCACAGAACAAAGAGGTGCTAATAACAGATTTGATTTCACACCACTGCTGCCAGTAGACAGTTGATTCACTGTCAAACTTACTACTGACAAGACAATGTACACACTATACACCAATGTCTGTCATCTAGTTCCCGGTTCCTCTAATGTTGTTATGTTCTTACATGTGACATATGAATAGCAGCTACATTGTTGGTTCCGGATGTTATTTTTTTACTAGGCAACTTCTGCAATGAGAGGCCGCGTATGAGACACGGTGCCCGACTCAGAGTTTTTCCAGTCTGTCGATTCATTCGTCACCGTTTCTGTTTGGTCACATCATGTTTCTTATCCTTTTAGGAAATGATTGACGAAGCAGACCTTGATGGAGACGGTGAAGTCAACGAGCAGGAGTTCTTGCGGATAATGAAGAAGACCAATCTTTATTGAGTGTGTTAGTTTAAAACTCTTGATCTGATGACATCAGAACAGTTTATACAGTAGCTTTGCTTTTTATGGGACTTAGGCTGATTAGTTCTCTTTGTAAATAAATATTTTAACATACTGTATCTTTGCACAGATTTTTCTACAATGCAAGACAAATAAATATATTTCATCATAGCTTGTTTGTTTGTTGTTACTTTTACATAAACCTTAAAAATGCTATTTACATGCAAACAGTCAGTGTCAAATTACAAGAGTTAAATGTTTCCATTGGCCTTGTGTGTGTTTAAGTAATGCTTCACTCAACATCAGTGTTTTACTTTTACTTGCTGTTTATGGTTAGAAACAGAAAGGCTATGGTTTTGACAGTCTCTGTGAAGGTAATTTCGGTACATTGCCAACGCTGCAGTGCAGCTGCAAAGCACAACATCCCAATAGCTGTCCACCAGACAGTGAAAGTCTAAAGACTAAGTTCATGTTGACTAACATGCAATATGTTACTGTAGACAGAAATGACAAGCGTGAACTTGAGATGAGTAACTCAGAATCACTCTCACTTTATGCTTTGAGTTACTAAACCATCTGTAGACGAGACTGTACAGCGCTGCGTTACTTATATGCTCTGATCATCTTATAGGAAAGATGCTCCTGCTGATTAATTGTAATATACAGCGGAAATCTGGTTTTGGCCAAAACATAGAACCTTGTTAAAATAAACAGGATATTGTAGTGACGTGTTTTTCCGAACCGTCAGACGGCTGTCTATTATTTTGAGGATGCTTGCCACTGATTGTGAAAGTTGTGATAACCTGTTCGAGACGGCGAGGGAGCATCAGGTGGAAAATGTGAAAAGTTTTCTCCCAAGATGAGATGTGAATTAAAAAAAAAAATATTCCACATAAGAAATGTTTGAAAGAACTTTGACCTGCTTGATCCGCCAGATTTTGAGTTTCCTATTAACATGTTTATTTTCTTTTTGAACATGTGATAAAGGTACATTTATTGGCATGGCTTTTGTTAAGCAGATTCTTTTCACTTGGTATCAAATTCAGATTTCTATGTTTCCTTTAATTTTGTTCAATTGTTGAGCTGAAACTTGGAATTGATACAGATGAGCCAAATCAAAAGGCCGCATTTAAAGGTTTGCTTTATGTAACCCCCCATGACTCAGATCTGTCCACCTTCTCGGAGTTCAAAGTCGACCAGACACCAGGTGAGAGCTGAAATACAGAACTGAAGCTCACTTTGAGTGGACACAAATGGTTAAATATGAAATTATACATAGATTTTGGGAAATCTAGGGATGAAATGGAACACTGCTTGTCTTTAACAGGTCCATGATACTGGTCGAATAAATACCTCCTTATACAGTTTACCAGCAGTCAGACTAGGATGGTTTCACAAAGACAGACTGACTGAGGCTTACGTCTAACATTTAGACTTGTTTCAGTGCACAAAGTTGTGAAGCTCATGACTATCTTAAGTAGGACTTATTTGCTGTGACTTACTTTTCTTGAAATATACAATTGACCACTTTTGCTTCCATGAAGAACTTAACACTTTTAACGTATTCTTTAAAAAAAAAAAGAATCACTAAGAAACTAAACAACACAAAAACAAAACTGATTTGGAAAAAGATTGTAACTACTGTCGGTGTCCTACAGGAAGGAAACTGTGGCCTCGAAAAACTTTGCTTTGCTTTCTCAAGAATGTTATCTGTAAACCACAAATTACAAGCCATGCTTTTGCCCTTTTGTTTTGTTTTGCGAGTGCTGCCATGGAAACATAGGTCTAAATTTGGAGTTAGTTCACGGGCCAATTTAATGAAGGCAGACTTCAAATGTGACTTTGATGTAGCAAACGGTGAGACATCAGACAGACCTCTAAATTCATCTGTGGCACAAAGCAGCTTAATTCTTGACAGGATGACAATACAATCAATTATGGCTAAATTGAGACTCACCCAGGCCACTCAGCTTCCTTCAGTCTGGCCGAAAACATTCGCCTCCTTGCAGAATTTAACCGTCGGGGATATTTTTTCCTGTGAAAATTCATTCAAAGCAACACAGAAAAAAAAAAAAAATGCAACAAGGTACTGGGATTTCAAAAACCTCTCTCCTGTCTTTACTTGCTCCATACTTTTATCAGCATGCCACAAGTTTTGAGCCATGCTTTTGCTTTATTTATTATTATTTTCATCAGCTGGTGCCACCGAGTGTTGCCATGGAATCAGGTCTTAGGTTGGAGTTCATCCGCTTCTCCAAAACATTGTAGACGGGTCTATTGTGTCGGAACTAGTCTAAAATGTCTTCTTGTAGTTTATTATGAGCCATATAGACTCACAAAATCTACGATGGACTTATTTTAAGCCTCAAAATAAGCCCCTGACCAGTAACACCAACTCACAGAGACAGGAGGGAAAACATGGCGGAGAGTTACGACTCTGCTGATAACATGGTGGAGTAAGCAATGAGATAGATGTTTTTTTCAGACTGCAACCTGTTAACTTGTTTAACTGTAAACTAAATTTTATAATTCATCCTACATCCACCCAACCGGTCGAGGCAGATGGCCGTCCCTCCCTGAGTCAGGTTCTGTTGGAGGTTTTTTTTCCCCTGCGGGGGTTTTCGGTTCCTTCCCACTGTTGCGGACTGCTGAAGCTTATAGGTAATCCAAATGTTTTGGATTGTTGGGTGTTTCTGTCTCTGTCTTTGTGAAGCGCTATGAGATGACTTGTTGTTATAAATATGCGCTATCCAAATAAAATTGAATTGAATTGAATTGAATTAATCCCAGGGGTTTTTGATGCAGATTCTTTAGCATGAAAAAATGCCGTACCCATAATTCATAGCAAAATAGTTGGACAATCAAGTTCTAAGCAACTGTGTGTAACAGATACATGTCATGTCTGACTAAAGTGTGATTATTAATCAGATCAAAGCCACAGTCAAAGTCTAACTTAGTGAAACTAGCCCGACCTGAGGTGGATATTTTGGTGAAACTTCTAACCTAAATTAGCTGGTAAAAAAAAAAACTGTCAACCGCCATGAAGCATGAAAAGCACCACGGTGCAGCGGATTCACTCAAAAATCACACTTGGTCTAATGGCTTTATTAGCAAGGCGCTTGATGTGCATGGAGCAACCCACTTTGGAGGAGTAGGTGTTGCTGAAACGGTGGATGTCTGACTTTAGAGCGAAACTTTCCAATTGGAGTTTGATGTTTTTGTACAGTGGCAGTTTCGTGGCCTTTAATATGTTGACGGCCCCTCAGCTGAGTGTTATTCCCCTGCTGTGGTTTAACAGCGCTCTCATGACGCGTCCTGCTCAGTACTCCCACTGCGTCGCTTCATGTTTTTTATTTTCCCAGAAAAAATGATCAATTTCCAAAACAACTAAGCGCCGCGAGTCTGGTCGTTGGTGGTAAAAGACGGTTAGACTATTAACTCTTAAATGTCAAGGATGTGTCACCGTTATGTAGGCAACCTATTTTCACAAGCCCCTTTGAGTAAGACAAGTTGAACACAAAGTAATAACCGTCATTGTGCCCTGAAGAAGCAAAGAGTGACTGCATCAGTGGTATGTGCTTTTTTGTATACATGTATATATATATACTGACAGAATTTCTGGAGATTTAGACATTCTAACTTAACACTATAATCCAGTGTTTCTGAAATTTCCATTTGCGGTCATTAGTGTTATCTGTTGATCGAATCAGTTGTTCCCACATGTTCTACAACTGCTGTGTGATGATACAAGTTCTTCATGTATGTATGTGATTTGTCCTGTGGTTTTATTCCAGTTTTTATTCCACCTTTCTACAGTTTAAAAGGAATATTCGTATATCAACCTCTTTGGTGTTAAAAGCCATAATGACAGCTGTGAAGTGAAGCCTTTGCCTCGTATCTGTTTAATCCATACGCCTTTTATTCTCATTATTTGTTTTCCTTCTTCGTGAGTTACTGCTGTACACCTGACTCACGCGCTTTGACGCTCGACCTGTTCAGGGAGCTCTGTTTCCACTCCTTAACCAATCACCTTTAAACGTCAGTCAGGTGTACACAACAGCGGAAAACAAAGCTTGTTTGAGTGGGTTTAGTCGACAGTGTTTTTTTTTTTTTTTACATCACCGCCGTAACTCCACGAAGCAACATCCTTTCAGTTTTGGCACTATAAGCCACATTCGATGTCATATATAAGGAGCAGAGTGACAAAAACAACAATTAAATCATTTAATGTACGCTGTATTTAAAAGTTGTTCAGCTGTTGGTACAGTGCTGCTGATTTGACTCAGGAGCTGCTTCGTAGAAAATGAACAGAAGGCAGATTCTGTGAACATGATCGCTCTCGTTCTTTGTGCAGAACTGTGCCGTGTCTTTGACTCAGATGTTTGGTTTTCTGTTTCAGTGTAATCAGCCTTGTTGACCTGGCTTTTTATCCTTTTATTTAGTTTATTTAGGTGGATGACAGCAAAAGAGTTGACGTGACTGAATCTCAGGTCTCTCCCTCGTAAATTACTGTGTGGTGGCATTCAACAGTTTGTTTCCACTAAACATCGACCTGTGGCAACTTAACTGTGTGGTGGTAAAGCTTTCACCTGTGTTTGATCATAACAGGATCAGGAATTTGTTTGTATTTAATGGAGTTTTTAATATTTGCTCGCCAGCAGCCCTCATGAGTGGCTGCACAAGTTCATCTATAATTTAGTCAGTAGACTGCTGACATGTTCTTGCTTTGTGGAATATACTAAGACTTCAGACATGATTATTCCAACAGATTAGCAGATTGTGTCCTGCGGGGACACTTTACATGTGATCAGACCCAATAACCCGGTGCAACAACACTTCACTTTCTCGATAAAGGAAGGAAACTGTGGGCGAAATCGCACTCAGATAACAAATTAAATATGAGCCATTACTCCTCTGAGCAGTTTTATCAGATCACTCACCGAACAGTAACAGCCATCACCTCGTCAGATACATCGATTGTACGTTCATGTCGTACTTGGAAAGACTAAATCATGACTAAAGCAGAAAATAAAGTGCTTTCGTCAATAGGTACTCGTGCCTTTTGGAATGAAGTTATCACTGGTTTTTAGACATGATAAGCTCCAGGGAACAAACACCTGCACCGTTCACCCGCATTTAACTGCAGGATCGACTGTCTTTTATCAGTATTCTGTTCATCCAAGTTGGTTTATGAGAAAGAATTCACCAGATAATAGAGGAGCTGGAGGCTACGTTTTGATTTTAAACATAACTAATAGGTAAAATCTTTGCATTCAGTAATGATGACTGTGAAAAACTAAAAAAAACAAGCTGTGTCATCCCTCCTGTCGTACCGGTGAACAGGACCAAAAGAGGCGATCCCCCACCCACACCATGTGCTCTTCCTGTACACTTACGGTAATATCAAGCACGCTCGCTTTTCTCAATCACTCAAAATCACCTTCATGTGTCCTTGCGTCTCCGTAAATACATGTAAAATAGCAGAGGGCTCCTACAGTTCTCTACACTAAGAGTCATTTTGTTGAAAAGTAGACAATTGTTTGCAGGATACCACCGTGTGCACGGCTGTTGCATGCAAAGTGTCAAATATGCGCCCACTTGCTCGGCAACCTGGAAATGCAAACTGTTGACAAAGGGGAGACCGCAGGGGTGGAAGTCATACTACGAGTGAGTGGGAGTAGGAAGTAAACTACATTATTAAGATGAAGTAAACAAATGTGTATGGCGGTGAAATAGTTTAAAATACAAATTCTTAGCTTACTGCCCCTGATGAAGGTGAGTTCATGTACTGAACTTTCACTTAAGTCTCAAATGTCAGAAAAGAAAAAAGGAACGTGACTAATGTTTCTCTTAAGGCGCCCACACACACACACACACACACACACACACACAAGCCAGAATTGGAGAAATTTCACACCAACAGAGCATTTTTTTTTTTTTTACACATATGTTTTATTCAGATCAAACCATGTAAAGGCAAAGTAATGACAAACAAAAACAAAAACAAAAAATGACATAATTACAGTACGACCGAGTGACAACGTCAAGTGAAAACAAAACAAAGTTATGATGAGCAACAATTGCGGCTGAGACATCTGCAGCGATAGCAGACGCTGCGTAATAGCGAAAGAAACAAATAAAAGAACAAATATGTGGCATTAAACTGTTCAGCAGGAGAGAGTACAAACGAACACGTAAAACAAGCCAACCTACAGCTAATAACACTGAAGAATATAATTCATATTTACACAGCAGCTTGTGTTCGGTTCCAGCCTCGGGCCTTTTGTCATCTCCCCCCTGTCATCATTTAAAAAAAAATTTATAATAAAATAAATAATAGTGTTTAAAAAAAATAAAAGAAGAACTCCTGGAGCTTTTATTTATTTATTTTTTTGTGTGGCATCTTCACCTGCCTGCAGCTGTCAGATCAGCCGTCAGAGCCGTGCAGCACTTCCTTCCCCTTTGTAAACCATTGCTTTTTAGAATAGGTCTGTTCCAGGTGCTCCCACTAAATTGTTGAGTTCAGAAATAAAAGCGTTCTGCTCTCTGGTAACTCCTGCTAACACTGGGCTTTTGTTAACATGAGTCCAACAGGGATAGTAGCTGCAACAGAAAGAGGAGATTCACATTTGTCATTGTAAAATGTAGTTTTTATTCTTCACTGACAGACACAAATTTAAAACCACACTTTTTATTTATTTATTTATTTATTTATTTTACAGTGCCTTGTAAAGTCAATAAAAGGTGAAAACCAAAATGCGTCACAGCCCCGACCACATTTTTGAGAAAACACAAGCATTTTTCTGTAACAAAGAGAAATTTGAAGGGGAAATACACACAAAGTCTATTTAAGAAAAGGTGCTCCTTGCCTTTTAACATAAAATGAACTCAGTGGGTAGAATACACAGCATATGAAAGATTTCCTTCCTTACAAGTTGGCACTTTCGTTGCTGAAATGATTATCAGCAAATCTCACCACGTTTAGTCTCACCTCATTGTGCTTTCATGGTACTAAAAGAAAAAAAACACTTAACAGCGGAAAAGCACGCCGGTAAAATTAAATAACCTCTTTCATGCTCAAACATCAGTTGGTCTGTTGCAGTGGTTTGCACAAGAACACGTTCACTCTCGCTGGTTGACCTCCATCCGTCAGCTTTCAGACGTTTGCCGTCTGTCTTAAAGTCACACTTTTTGCTGCGTTTAACACTCTGGCTGACCACAAACAGCAAACTCTCACTGTGTCACGGCACAAAAACGCTTCGTACGGCAAAGTTTCACTAAACTTGACGTAAAAAGCTTGAGCAGTTGAATGAAGACGAGGCATACGGGACGACTACATAACACCGCTTTGTGGTTTTTGTTTTTTTTTGCTTGAGCCTGACATTCGGCCGTTCAACAAGAACACAAGGACAAATGTTTGACTGAAAACTGGAAAAAACAAACCAAAAAAAAATAGTTGCACTTTCTACAAACACACAGGAAAGTTGTAACTTATGTTGAATTAAAGCACATATAGTAATGCTTCATTATTTTCTGTTTAGTAATGAGTAGTGTAAGAATTGCAATGTGAAATTCCAGTAATTGTCAAGGATACTGACACTTTGCAGTCTGTTTGGTTTTTCTTTCCAGCTAGAAGTTTTATGGAGACCTGACATCAGTTCATTGTCAGGCCGAGGTGCAGCGTTGGTGTTGGCCTCTATCACAACAGGAGAAATGTGATTGCGAGTCAATCCAAACTTGTCATACTTAAAGTTTGTGTGTCGCTGGCCGGCCGATGTGACACATTTCAGACACAGGTACAAGTCTGTCTAAAGCTGAAGGCTTTGTAACCACAGTTCGAAGTGGGGACCTATGGAGAGTCGTGTGCCATCACGATGAATCAATCTGTTTCCTGATGGTCAGTGAATTCCTCCACGCTGGCAACTGCCTGCCCGTTCAGCGCCAGTGTCTTTTTTTTTTTTCCATTAATATTAATTCTTTAAATGAAATAATATGTGACAGAAGGCTGTGGATGATTTGTGCTTATTTAGAGGCGTTATTTAACAACGGAGCTGCGCTGAGGAACAGAAGTAAAGCTTTACTTCTGCTGCTAAAAAAGTAATGTAGTTACTTTTTTAAAGACTAAGGTGTCTGGGTGCCGCTGTAGCTCACCGGGTTGAGCTGGCGTCCCATGTGCAGGGCTACAGACCCGATGTGGAGGTCATGAGCTTGAATCCCGCTCATGGCCCTTTCCCACACGTCCTCCCCCCATTCTTCTCCCCCACTTTCCTGTCTCTTTCTCACTGCGCTGTCAAATAAAGGCACAAAGGAGAAAGAAAAAAAAAAACAGAGTAAGGTGTCATTAGTTTTAAAGCGACCTGATCAGTGATCGCCCAACATTGTGAGCAAGGACCATGTGACATCTCAGCATTGACGTCAGCTGTGATATTTATAATATGACATAATGATACACATATGATAGTTTTGTAAATATTCCAGCAACAGTAACAGGGAATTGGTGGTTCTGTCGCTTTTTCCCACTGAAAAAAAGAACAATATGCTGTAACTGTTGTGCAAGCTACCAAAGTGCGGCTACGACTTCAATGCAACAACAGGATGGAGGGGATGGCAGACAAGAGCAATATGGGGGCCATTATTATTAATAATAATATTTTATATATATATATACATACATATCAGTTAATTTAGGGCAGATAATCATGTAGTGAAACTCTGGTATCGTGACAGCCCTGTTTAAGAACATTACTTTGGTTGTAAAAAATCTCTTTGGCAGGTGTTTCTTCTTCGACAGCAACAAACCTTTTTGTTTTTTATTTCTTTCTGCTGGCTGCTATCTTCATCAGAGGTAACAAGCCAAAGCGAGAGTCACACTGGATGAGAGTCCAGTAGATTTTCTAACTTCTTGGCAACACAAAAATGTTTTTATTATTGGCTTAAAACTACGTTCGTAACCGTAGCTTAACCATCAGTGAAGACATTCGTTAAAGGTCGTGAACCCTGTTAGACTATAGCAACTCAGACGGAAAATCATACACACCTAAAAACCCACTTTTTTTTTGCATAATTTAAAGTGGAACGAGGACTTTGACGGCTATGAAGATACAATCTGATGATAAATGCTTACACCTATCTAACACCTTTAATCTGCACACTTTTTATTTCCATTGTGACATGTCTGTGTCAAGTGACCTTTTTTTTTTTTTTTTTTTTTTAAATATATCCTGCGCTTTATCTTCCTGTGGTGGAGGAGGTAGTGTTTTATGACTTTTCATGGGACGTTGCGCACATTGTGGCAAAGCTGCTTAGTA